CCCGAAATTGAATTAGAATTCGAGCTTTGGTCATTTTAAATAGTCCAATCCTAAGATTGAGCAAAAAAAACGACCATTGGCCGTTTTCGGGCTTTGCGCCCAACATATACACTGCCAAAAGTCATATTAATTTGCTGTATGTGCCGATTTATTACTAAACACTAAATTGTTCAAATTCCCACTGGAAAATTTTTGTTGGCCTCTTACAGAATTCAATATAAACGATTATTAATTGCGGTCAATTTTTGAAATTGAAAATTGCTTTATTTTGGATGCATCTTATTGTTTTGTGCATCTTTTTCTTAACACAGGACTCAACACATTTTCCCTCTGCGATCTGGAGGCACTTTCCATCAAGCATGCGAAAATTGTTTAACGATTTTTTAAACAGTGCTCAAAGCCCCAAATCGTGAAATTCGCATCGCTTATGCATCCTTTTCGTGTGCTCCTTTTTAGAAGATATTCTGCAATTGTTTTCCTTGGAACAGTAACTTTCTCGACAACGGCAATGCCTCGTTAAAAACACCGCACCGGTTCTCGTCAGATCACCGAAATTTAAGCGACGTCGAGCGCGAAGGGTGACCGCTTGGGAACGCCTCTTTTTTTAGCGCATTTCCACAAAAATAAAAAAAAAATGCGCTATTGTGGCCACTTTGTCCGTCCGTCCGTCCGTCCGTCCGTCCGCTAACTTTGCGACGCTACTAGTTTTTTATCTTAAGAGCTATTGTTCTACTTTTTTCGCTATTTGGTTCGTTATGGTGTCGAGTCTTGTACCAAGGAAGGAATTTTTTCTGTACCGCTTACAAAAAAAGTTATTGTAAAAAAAACAAAAAACCGTTTTTTACATGTTCCATAATTTTACACTTTTGCCGTTTATTAACGATCCTAGAGATCGTTTATAATTTTGCATTGCTATCTGTCGCCTGCCGGTTGGTCTCTCCGTCTGTTCCTTTGTCTGTCTGTCCATCTATCTGTCCGTGTGAACGATAACTTTGTTTAGAAATGTTCGATCGCTTTTACATCTCCGTTAGTTATGAACTGAATTGCATGAAATTCAATATGGGCATAGATTTAGCCATATAATACGCAATGCCAAAAGTTGAATCGAATCGATTCAAAATTCACAGTGCCCTTTTCGCATCTCGACCATTTATAAACCGAATTGCAAACTTTTTTACTTATAAAAGTATTTGAATGAAATTTGATACATAGGCACTTGGAATAAAGGAAAATCAAACGCCAATTTCAAAATTTGGTTTTGCGCATGCGCAGTGCCAACTTTTTTATTTATGGAAGAATTTAAACGAAATTTGATACATAAGCACTTCGAATAAAGGAAAATCAAACGCCAATTTCAAAATTTGGTTTTGCGCATGCGCAGTGCCAACTTTTTTATTTATGGAAGAATTTAAACGAAATTTGATACATAAGCACTTCGAATAAAGGAAAATCAAACGCCAATTTCAAAATTTGGTTTTGCGCATGCGCAGTGCCAACTTTTTTATTTATGGAAGAATTTAAACGAAATTTGATACAGAAGCAGTTCGAATAAAGGAAAATCAAACGCCAATCTCAAAATTTGGCTTTGCTAATGCGCAGTGCCAACTTTTTTATTTATGGAAGAATTTAAATGAAATGTGATACATAGGCACTTGGAATAAAGGAAAATCTAGCGCTAGTTTCAAAATTTTATTTTGCGAATGCGCAGTGCCAACTTTTTTATCTATGGAACTATTTAAGTGAAATTTGATACTTAGGCGCTTGGAACAAAGGAAAATCTAACATTAGTTTTAAAATTTAGGTTTGCGCATGCGCAGTTCCAACTTTCTTATTTAGAAAAGAATTGAAATGAAATTCTTCGCATAAACTGAAATTGAAGTAGCACGTCAACAATGGATTGCCCATGCGCAACGCTATCTTTCATATTTGTGGGCGGATTTTTACGATTTTAACAGAAGTTGCATCTTACAAATGGGAAATGAATGCAAGTGGAAATGCGCTTTATGTAAATCGTTTACGATTACTTTTTAACTTGTTTTAATTTTTGCTCATGTTTGTCTATTGATTTTATTTATTTTTTTATTTTAATGCCACAAAGCATCATATAATTAATAATTGTAATTCCTAATTAGAATTAATTTAGTTTTGGTGAAAAAAAATTTTAGTTCTTTAACATTGACATTTTTTCTCAGTTTTTTTGTAATAAAATCTGGCACAATTTTTGTAGGTTGTACGCAGAAAAATAAAGTCTTTCGAATACCTTACTAAAAATTTTAGGTTGCTTTTTGAAAAGGGGTTCGATGGCGTTGTGGTGCTCTAATTTCTCTTCTAATTTTTTTCAAAAATCACATTTATTTTCCGTTTCTGTATGCCTAATATACATATCCAAAATTTGAACCGCATTCGTCGAGCCGTTAACTTGGAAAATTGCCAACATACGTACGTACATACAGACGGATACAATTTTATTTTTTTTTCACTACTAGCGTCTGATGACATGATTATTAACCTTTTTTCCACTTGTAAAGTAGGCTTTCTCGGCATTTGTTCAAAGTGGTTAATAATGTGGGCATTATTAACTAGTAGTCAATAATGAGAACTGTCACGCTGTCACTTTTAGAAAACACAACCCGAAATTTCGCTCAATGAACGTTTAGACAAGTTCTCTAAAACGAATAATTGCCACCATTCGCAATTTCCAGAGAAATTACATACCTAAAATTATCACATTTTGAAAAAATTCGAACGAAATTACTCTTTGAAAAATCTCAATGACAGAACAAAATACGGCCTATTTGACTTGTACTTCCACGTACTTGATTGACATGTTAAATTAATAAACAAAAATTCTGTCCAACCGTTAACTCTCTTATCAATATAATATGTTAATTTAGAGGATTTCAAGTGCTAGTAGTGAAAAAAATAGTATATATACCACGGTAGAGAAGTCTATTATTGCCTTCGCACCTTACACCCCTCGGCGCAAGCGCCTCGAGATGTAATCTTGGTGCTCAGGCAATAATACTGGACTTCTCTACCTTGATATATAATGTACTATTATTATACCTGCATCATAATCGCTGTTTAAAACACGCCTGAGCGTGCGCAAAAAGGTGATTAAAACACGCCGAGCTTTAAAGGTTGCTAAGTAACGTTGCTTCAAATATGACATAATGAAACTATATTTGTAATGTGGGATTGAAATAAAATATTCCCTCGGATCGCTTTTTGCAAATGAAAAAGGTGTCTTTGGCTCGTATCCTTTGTGGGAAGCTTCAACGCAAGTTTTGAATGAATGCACCGAAGGGTAGAAGATTTAAATACCTACCTTTGATATTTCCTTCATATATGACAGCATGAACGATGCATTTAAGACCTTGTTTGGTAGATGCTTCCTATTATTCCACGCCATTTTCATATATTCTTTATAATAGGCTTTTGCATTTGAATGTTACAGGTTCTTCTGTTGCAGAAATAAGCCACTGAATAGACGGTGTATTGTCTTCTTCAACCGAAGTCATTTTATTTACAAAGACAGTGATTTTTAATACGCGAACGTCAAGTGACATTTCCATGGCAATCATAGAATGACAAATAATCAGCCCACTTAATTAGAAATGTATTCAAGTAGAACGTCAATATGATTTCATTGTACTTCCCTTATTTTTAAATTATATTCCAGGTATAATAAAAAATACTATAAGAAACGCGTGTATAATTGGTCTTTAAAGCACTTGCAACGTTTAAAGGCACTCCGCTGCGCGTCGTGCCCTTAAACTCGTTGCGCGTGCTAAAGACTTGATTATACACTTGTTTCTTAATATACTATTTTGAAAGTTCCTTAAAATGATGTAAAACGTTGAGATTTCATGAAATTTTGTCATGTCCCAAAAACGGCGATCGCAATAACTACACTAGCTCATGCTAGGAAGCTAAACGATTCCGTGTACCAAAAAAAGTCAAAGAAAATTAATTTCATTATGTCCATTATATTCTTTACTATTCATTTCTAAACTAATTTTTCTAATATGGAGACCCTTTATGTTAGTGGTAACTGGTTGGGACAAATAAAAGCTGAAAGGAACAAACATCACCAATTTCTATAATAGGAAGGAAGTTCAGATTATACGCACTTCACTATATAAACTTTGTTTCACTATTCGTCATTCGATGAATTCAATTAAACACAAGTTTGGTACTTTTAGACTGGCTATATTATATACTTATACTTTTTTGTGACAAATCCATAAGAGTTCAGATGAGACACAAAACGTCACGTTTATTTGCTATAGTACATACCTAATACTTTTTCTTTAAACGCAGAAAAAGTTATTTAAGAGGGTGATGTTGTCGATGGAAACGTTTTTTAAAATCTAGATTCTGGCAAAACCTGCGTTTAATGAAACATATCAGTAAGGCCATGAAAGTACGCTGGGGAAAACACACATGGTCAATTTTGTAAGTAACTCAGGCTTCTTTGATGCGTAAAAATTTTACCAATCTCATATACCAAAATTCCCCTTTATTTTCAAGGCGGTTTTTCCGTACTTCTGAAATAAAAATGAAGATGTTTATATCGAAATATTTTCTTCTGCTAATTCTGCTAACTATGGATTCCCCAATTCAAACACGCGTAGGTATTAACAAATTGATGACGTTTAAAGTCATACCATTGAATAAAAAAACTTAAATTTTAATAGATTCCCTACAGTACTTCACTATAAGGTAATGCCAGCATCGTGATAATTTAAGTAAATTTTCAAAATCGAGATGTAATCAACTATAATTTTAGTTTAGTTGTAACCTTTCGTTTGCGGTAAAAGCATTTACCAACAATCTGACGTTTACAAACAAACATCATTTTAATATATTTTTACGACATTATATCGACAAAATCTATACAAATCCTTTGTTTTGCATTTTGCGAGTGAAACAGTGGAAGGTGGACCTAATAGATTTGCCTATCGAAATGCAGCAAGTAATCTACGGGGCGACATTATCTTATCTTTCTTCTTAACAGTCGTCAAATAGTTTGTAATACATCAGTTAATTTTAAAGCTTCTTGTAATACAGTTCAATTTTCTTCAAACTGTCGAAATGGCTAAAAACGAAATCCAGATCAATGGCGAGCTGGAGAAATTCAGTGAGTAACAATAACTTTCATTCTTAAATCATTGACATTGATATGAGATTCTTAATTCTGTATTTTATTCTTTGCCCCGTGTGATCATGGAAATTTATGTGGGTTGTTCAATGCTCTTTCTTTCCGCATATATCCAGTAATTTTTTTCTGTCTGTGGAACTTTGACTTCGAACTTTTCCAAATGATTTTAGTGATGTATACAGGATATTATTGTTAATCGACCCGATTTCTTTACTATCTTTTAAGGTGTCACTGAACAAACTTATTTTCAAAATTAGGCGTTTGAGCGTTTATTCTATAAACTGGAATGCTTCCTCATCAGGCAAATAATATATTATCCTATTATTAATTCATGTCTTTTATTTTCATCTCACTAAATCGCGTATCGTCATACCAAAATATAACAAGGCATCAAGTTGAGGTCGAGCCCCCACGCGGCGAACAACTATCATTTTCAGTCAATACAATTATTTATTAATTACGCTTATCTTTACATGCGTAATAATAGAACTATCAATTAACGTTATTAGTCTGAGACTAATTGAATTGAAATTGCTTACGTAGTTATTGCATGTTTCCACAGAAGTATTTACATTACGTTTTTACCTAAAATGTCTCCGTTACAATTTATTACCTACTAGTTTCTATACACAGTAAGATAAGATGTATAAACATTGATATAATCATGGACAAAGCAGCCTAGAAGTTTTGCAAATTTTTGAAATCGATACCTGTTCGAGCTAAAAAAATACGCTCACGCTCCTGTTCATCAACACATTACATAATTTTAGATCTGATACTAATAAATTAAAATCTGCGTTTAATTATATATGCTCTATTCAAAATACCGCACATTCCACGCAAACTCCAGAGTTCATGTTAAATCGTTGTAGATGATAATCTGGAATTTCCTGCCTAATGTGTGTGATGAAAACAATATGATATCCATGTTCTTTTATTTTGAGGAAATACTAGGGTAAAGAAATAAATTGTTTCAACAGTATCTTTAAAGCACAATTTTTGTTACAGTGCCACCAGCAAAAGAAGAACAGAATGTCGACATTGTGGAAAAATGCATGGGTGTTATGGGTCGGTGGCAAATACTTATTTGTGTTTCAGTATTTCTGTGCAAACTTCCAATCGCATGGCATCAACTAAATATTGTACTACTCGCTCCTCCTACAGAATTTTCGTGTGCGGAGAATATGACTGAGAAGTGCTCGTCTAATTGCTCCGATATTGTTTTTGATAGGTGAGTATGAGGTTTTTTTTCCGGTTTTGACTACACTAATACTTGACATTTTGCATTTTGACCTTATAAATTACACTCCTCAAAATCTGTATCTGTTACTTGGTTGACGCCATAGTTATCTTCATAACAATGCAGCTTCATCCCGCTGGATCTCGCCTCTCATTACTCCCAACAAAGTGTAAGAATTTATAAGCGTTTGCGTTTAGAAGTATGAAATTTTAGAGCCCATTAAGGTCAGAAGTAGTAGGAAAATAAATATGAGCGCCCTCCTCCCATTGCTGGTTACTATGGCTATGTCGAAATAGACACTCAGGGGGCTGAATGTAAGAAGACTGGACTACCCTACACTTTGTGATGGGAACAAATGTCTTTAAAAAATAACTACACAACTTTGAACTTTTCTTCTGAACCTACTATTTATCGTTAGTGCACTGAACCAGGCAAATGATTTATGAGGACTTGGCTGACTGTCAAAAGAAGACGAACCAAAAACTAAGTACACACCATGAACATATTAAAAATAGTGAACGAGTTTAAAAATAGTACGAACACTCATTTTCTCGGAGGTCAATGCTGAAATTTAATTAAAGAAAAACTAGAGAATGATGAACTTTTTAATCTCCGTCTCCCGTGTTGTATACGCTTGCTGTTTATAGCGGTATAAATATATATATATCATTAACAATTCTAATATTTGTACAAATTTTGTTCACCTCACCTTGTTTGTTTATTATGAAGTCTAATTAAATATAAACAATAGGTTATTTATAGACCAAGAGACTGGGATTCCGCATTTATAATCCAGAGTGTGAAAGCTTGGTAATTTGTAAATAGTGTGGTAATTTATTATTGAAGAGTATAATGAATTTACTACAACAACCTTTTGGCATCGAATACAAAGGACGCGATTGCTAAGCTGCTTCGTATGAAATCTAGATACGTTTACGATAAGAAGTTGATGAGTTTCTGAACTTGGAGCGAGGAAAAAATAGGGAATTTTACTGAAAGCGCGTTCTTTGCTTCCTTTTTTGAAAAAGTAAAGATGAATCTCTTCTACGCTGCGAATACTTCATATTAAAAACAAAGTTCCAAATTTAAAGAAATTTACATATAAGCAAGTACACAAAATCACTCATTTTCTTAAAATGAAAAATAGAAAGTATAAACCGAAGAAACCGAAAAATTTAATCATAGAACAGGTGTATGATTTTTTAAGCAAGGCATCTCATGTAAACTTCTAGGATATCACGGCTACCATTGAATAAAATGGCTTTAAATTACTCTTACCTATACTTATTTATAGAATGACCGCTGCTGGTAGAAGCATAGAAATTAGAATTATAAAATTAACTTACATCTGACGTACAGAACAAAGGTCATCATGTAGTGTTTCATGTTTGGTTTAAATTACATTAGCAAAAATCTTGTATTTCACAAGGGGCGCCATTTGAGGGGGGCAGGTGAGAGTCGTATTGGAAAAATAGGCACGTACCTACTTTAGTAAAAATGTAATGTATGCCGCATGGACTGTATGTATTTAGTAGACCACATGCCTATGTAGGTAAATGTAGCTAGGTAGTATAGGTACATAGTACATAAACTAGTCAAAATCTCGTCTATATTAAATGCTCAATATTGCGATAGTATATAGATATTTAGCGATATTTATGACGAGGGGGACAGAGCTCGAGGGCCTCTGGCCCAAGGGATTGTAAGTCGCCCGAGGGTTAAATATCCAGTAAGTCCTGAGGTGCATATACAACATTGTTTCCACTACTAGCGTCTGATGACTTGATTATTAACCTTTTTTCCACTTGTAAAGTAGGCTTTCTCGGCATTTGTTCAAAGTGGTTAATAATCTTTTATTATTAAATAGTAGTCAATAATGAGAACTGTCACGCTGTCACTTTTAGAAAACACCACCCGAAATTTCGCTCAATAAACGTTTGAACCAGTTCTCTAAAATGAATAATTGCCACCATCCGCCATTTCCAGAGAAATTACATACCTAAAATTATCACATTTTGAAAAAATTCGAACGAAATTACTCTTTGAAAATATCTCAATGACAGAGCAAAATACGGCCTGTTTGACTTGTACTTCTACGTATTTGATTGAAATGTTAAATTAATAAACAAAAAATTCTGTCCAACCGTTTACTTTATTATCAATATAATATGTTAATTTAGAGGATTTCAAGTGCTACTAGTGAAAAAAATAGTATATATACCACGGTAGAGAAGTCTATTATTGCCTGAGCACCAAGATTACATCACGAGGCGCTTGCGCCGAGGGGTGTAAGGTGTAAGGCGACTTCTCTACCTTGATATATAATGTACTATTATTTTTCATAATTCCAAATAATGTATTTCTAATATACAAATGTGATTGGCATATAATAGGCAAATGGAAAATAAAAAGTATGCTGCAAAAATATTTTTTTACCGTTTCTGAAAATGCAACAAATGTTCAACAAGGGGTAGGCATCTTGAAACTTAAAATTACAGTAGGTATTATACCATAGGCTTGCGTTGCTTTGCTTAGCCCCCCCCCCCCCCGTTAAGGTGAAATGGCGCCTCTGTATTTCACATTTGATCTTCGTCCTCCGTTGCAATTACCAATGGTTGACCGCCACCCAATTTCTACCTAGATTTCTAGGTAACTCTCCCCGTTTGAAATTGAGAAGGTACGAGGGTAGTAAAAACAATACAAATCAATTTAGATACCAAAAGAGATACTGGTTTATTCAACCAAATGGCAAAAATAAAAATTCTCTCCACAATGGGATAGCGTAGCGCACAAATATTCAAAGTACTCCCATAAATACTCAAAATTATAACTATGTTACACAAACATCCTAGTAACTTCAATGTACAATTGAAATTCCCCAGTTCAACAAAACCCCCAATCAAGAAGATAGACTAACAAACTAATTACTGAATCATAATACAACTTTCCACAAATAAATCGATATTCCGTACAAAGATATTAAATAGGTACTAACGTTAACAAATTACTTGGATGTAACATTTAACCCAGAAGGAACAAAATAGTTATTAACTAATACGCTAAAGAGTTACGGAAGTTGTCTCTTTGTTGAGGATCGAATCAAATCTCGTTCATCACCTGGTGAACCAATTCCAGAAAATGGCCGATCGTTATCAGCAGGCGGAAGATTTGTCAAAAGTGTTGGCACTCCCAAGCAACGGTGAATTTAACCGAAGGTTACACACTCGTACGTCAATACAATTGTAGGAAACTTAAGCTGGTCCTTACAGTTGAATTAAATTTGAATTTAAACCAACATTAATACTAAAAATTGGAACAAAAACTTGAACCCTAAAAGAAAGCAAAGGTAACCCTCTTCGTTGATGTTATAAAATGTACATACCTCTTAAACAAGAGGGTTAATTATAGATGAAGCAACAATATGTCGATGGAAAAATGTCGTATAGCAGATGACGGCCGAACCTAAAGAAGTACACTCTTAGTAAATGAAATGTAAACGGCGGTACTTACGGTAAGCCAGAAAAAAACGCAATTATATCCTCTCTAAGGAGTTAAAGGAGAATCCGTTCACTAATTACTCCAGAATCCCCAATTTAATGAATCCAATTGCCAGAGATTAATAAAATATGGATGATGGCAATTAAAATTCCATGCGTTTTAGCTTACACCTCAGCTGTTGGTTTTTAATGACGTGCACTTTGTTACGGCTCACAAAGGGAAGAGGAAAATAAAATTGATTACCACTGTCTGATTGCATTTTTTACGAGTAAATATCGCACTGGCTGGCATATTTTGCCACATTGTCTGTTCCAACTTCCACGGGGGCTGTTTCCGCATTCCGCCAGGGTTTTTGCTTCGTATAGAATCTTGCTAAAGTGAACCGCTCCAGACTTAGCAACAGGTCTAGCAATACAGCTGACAAAGACATAGTCACGTCAAAGATAACAGAAGCTTTTTTTAAATATATTTAACTGGATTAATGCGCGTTTTTGAATAACTGAACACATGTGTTTTCTTTCCGCGTACACATGCTTAACGCAACAATAATGAAATCTTATCGCACTGACCGGAGATAATATAATAATATATAACAACACCCAATTAAATCCAAAAGATTAAACGTCAACTTAAATCTTTTAACGCGTAATTCAAATTTACAATTACAAATCAAAATAACAAAGCGATTATTTAAACAAAAACCATTGACTTGTGAATATGTCTTCAATCTAAAATTAGCGATCACATTTAAAGTCCGCATGATGTAGTTTACACAACAGTGTGTAAGGGTCTTTATCCGCGTGTAAAATCACACGTAGAAATGTTTTCAACCGAAACAGGCTTTATAGTCATACATTTTGTCCAAAATTAAACGTTATAGTTTTCCCCATTTAAATCTGTCTTTGTCTGCGTTAAATCTACCAATCCGAACAGCGGAAGAAATTTACTCAGTACCTACCATCATTGAATAAGAATTTCTTTTAAAATGGTAATGCGTTCTCATATTCTGATAAGGTCCATAAATCGATGTATTGTGCGCCATTTTAATACCAGCAATTTTTGGGGGATACGATTCTGCAAACTATCCAATCACTATTACTTGCAGATGTTTTTTTTTACAAAAGGGTGCAACAATAACAGTCTATTGTTTTATCCGTACAGTACCTTGTAGACATGTATTGCCACCCTGAGAAAGCAGCCTTGGCTGAAACACCACCCATTTAGAAATAAAGGTTAACAAGTTAAAAAGTAATCGTAAACGATTTACATGAAGCGCATTTCAACTTGCATTCATTTCGTATTTGTAAGATGCAACTTTTGTTCAAATTGTAAAAATCCGGCCACAAATATGAAAGATAGCGTTGCATAATGTGCAATCCATTTTGATGTCCTACTTCAATTTCAGTTTATAAGAAGAATATCATTTCAATGCTTTTCTAAATAAGAAAGTTGGAACTGCGCATGCGCAAACCTAAATTTTGAAGCTAACGTTAGATTTTCTATTGTTCCAAGTGGCTATGTATCAAATTTCATTTAAATCCCTCCATAAATAAGAAAGTTGGCACTGCGCATGCGCAAAACCAAATTTTGAAACTGGCGTTAAGTTTGGTTTTATTCCAAATGGCTATGTATCAAATTTCATTTAAATCCCTCCATAAATAAGAAAGTTGGCACTGCGCATGCGCAAAACCAAATTTTGAAACTGGCGTTAATTTTGCTTTTATTCCAAGTGGCTATGTATCAAATTTCATTTAAATCCCTCCATAAATAAGAAAGTTAGCACTGCGCATGCGCAAAACCAAATTTTGAAACTGGCGTTAATTTTGCTTTTATTCCAAGTGGCTATGTATCAAATTTCATTTAAATCCCTCCATAAATAAGAAAGTTAGCACTGCGCATGCGCAAAACCAAATTTTGAAATTGGCGTTAAATTTGCTTTTATTCCAAATGGCTATGTATAAAATTTCATTTAAATACTTTTATAATTAAAAAAGTTTGCAATTCGGTTTATAAATGGTCGAGATGCGAAAAGGGCACTGTGAATTTTGAATCGATTCGACTCAACTTTTGGCATTGGTATTATATGGCTAAATTGCGTATTGTATGCCCATATTGAATTTCATGCAATTCAGTTCATAACTAACGGAGATGTAAGAGCGAGCGGACATTTCTAAACAAAGTTATCGTTCACACGGACAGATAGAGGGACAGACAGACAAAGGAACAGACGGACAGACCAACAGGCAGACGACAGACAGCAATGCAAAATTATAAACGATCTACAATAACTTTTTTTGTAAGCGGTACAGAAAAAATTCCTTCCTTGGTACAAGACTCGACACCATAACGAACCAAATAGCGAAAAAAGTAGAATAATAGCTCTTAAGATAAAAAACTGGTAGCGTCTCAAAACGAGCGGACGGACGGACGAACGGAAGGACGCACGGACGGGCGGACAAAGTGGCCACAATAGCGCATTTTTTTTATGTTGAAATGCGCTAAAAATAAATAAATAGGAAAAGTAATGAATACTAGCAATCAAGCTGCCTAATGATTCTACAGATACTAGTAACACTTCTGGGCATTAAGCCTTCCAGCAACACCATCATTAAAACTTTAGCAATGTTAATTTTACTTTCGTAAATAAAATCTAAATTATGTTTCGTTTACAGATCGATATTTACCAACACGATACAAATGGAGTGGAATTTGATTTGCGATAGATCACAATTGGTAAATTTTGCACAAACAATTACAATGTTGGGAATCCTTATTGGAAATTTTATTTTTGGATTATTATCAGACAAGTAAGTATAAAACGTAAGCTGTAAGGCAAATGCCCTCCAAAGTCCCTAACTCATTCATCTTTCTTTCGAACTAAATTAATAACACCTCAACCACAGTTGTTAAATTTTAATTCACATTAGAGAAGATTCCATTAAATTGGTTCTCCATAAAACAATTTTGTGGCATTAGTTCGATGGGTTTGTAAATACGCTGTAATTACGGACTATTATAAGCTACTTTGATGTATAATATTATTTTTCGCTATAACCAATGGCATTTTTTGTAGATTCGGACGTCGTAACCCACTGATATGGGCCGTCATTATACAACTAATATCTGGGACGGCAACTGCATTTGCCCCATGGTTCTGGCTGTTTTTATTGCTAAGATTCATTTCAGCCGCTGCAACCGGTGGAACTATGGTCACTTCTTTCGTACTCGTTATGGAAATTACTGGTACGATTCGTTTTGCAAAAAAGATTTTACATAACTTGTTGAGGCATTAACCGGCCTTTCAAATGAAAGTTCTTTGGAATTCCCCTTGCACGATAATTCATTTCGCAAAACTCGCCTGGTAGCTTATACTTGGTTTTTGCATTTAAATTAAAGGTCACTGAGAGACAGGCCTTGATTTTTTATTAGATTCTAACAGTACCCACACCTGGCTAGACAATTCACTTATTAAAATACAGGAATTATGAAATAGTCAACTCTTCGCATACTAATTTAATATGAACCATTTGAATTGATTAACAATCGTCGGTCACATAAATTTACTTTAGTAAACGAGTAGGTAGAAAATGTGTAATCTATTCTTGAAATTAATATACACGTCACGGTTACCCAACAAACCAAACCCAGAAAGTACCAAACACTCATGTCTGTTAGTTATACTAAATAACCCTTGCACATAATCACTTGTTACAGGGATCAAATGGAGGACCACGTTAGGCATACTGTACCAAGTTCCGTTTAATGTGGGCCACTTATCCCTGGCACTGATCGGCTACCTCATTCGAGATTGGCACTACGTTCAGTTGGCGATCACTCTACCTTCCCTGCTGTTAATATCGTACTACTGGATCATCCCCGAGTCGCCTCGATGGTTGTTGGCACTTGGTCAACCCGAAAAAGCAATCAAAGTGATGGAGAAGGCGTGTCGCTTTAACAAATTAGAGACGAGCTCTATTACTGAAGATGTACACATTTATATGAAGAAACATAGCATCGAGCAAGCTACGGGAACGTTCATGGATCTGGTGCGCACCAAAAGTATGAGAGTAAAGTCAATATCGATCTTCTATAACTGGGTCGTTTGCGGCCTTTGTTTCTTCGGAGGCGCACAGTACATGGGCCAACTCGGCGGTAACGTATTTGTCAATATTGCTATGTCTGCCGTAATACAAATACCGGGAACAATATTTTCAATTTGGTTCATGCAGTCCATTGGAAGGCGATACACTTTGATGGGTTCCGATTTTTTGGCGGGTTTGTCGTTTCTCTTAATCAGTTTTGTACCGGAAGACGCTCACTGGCCTAGAGTACTACTGGGCACACTCGGAATGTTTGGACTATCCGTCTGCTTTCCCACCGTGTACATCTATTCGGGGGAGTTATATCCAACTGTTATCAGAAACATTGGAGTTGGTACTTCGTCTATGTTCGCCAGGGTGGGATCAATGCTGGCACCTTTCGTTGCCGGACTTGCATCTTATCAACCTTGGTTAGCTCCTGCCATTTTCGGAATTGTGCCCTTAATCGGCGCTGCGTTGTGCTACTATTTACCAGAAACCAAAAATTGCGTACTACCTGAAACATTGGAGGACGCTGAAAAATTTTCAAGGCAACGCAAAGGTAGCGTTGCACCAGGGCTTGATAGTACGATTCAGTTTGAGGCTCGCTCGTAGGCCAAATTCAAACTTTGTGATTAATATAATTAAGATACTGTGTTTGTATGTTCCTTTTTTGTACTTTGTAAATAGATTTATGAAAATAATGTATTTCTAGTTATCAATGATAAATAAAATTTTTATTGTTCGGTACTTATTCATCGTATGGTTTTATTTTACTTCTATTTTGTCGCTTATAAGCCACAAAGTGACATTCCTCGAAAAAGATGACGTTTACGTTGTCAAATACGAGCGCAAATGCCTACTTTGGATATCGATTGTAGAAAAACACGTTTTCGTACTTCCGAGACTAAAGTGACAACTTCACTCCATTATGACAAGGACTGAAGTGTCACTTTTTGTCCCGCCGAGATTAAATTTGGACGAAAATTGCTAATATAGTTTTAAATAAAGTTTTCTCTTTCACGCTATTATTAAACATAAGTAAATCAGATATTTAGAAAAAAAGAATCTATTTTTTATTGCTACTGTTGCCACCTTAATGTCTTTTGTATCAGATTTATTTGATCTTGACTTTGTTTAAATAATCGTTTTGTTTGTTTTATATATAAGGTTCATGTCTAAATAATTGCATTGTGTTATTTTAAAGTTGATCTTCGGTCAATGCGATAAGAGTTTCTTTATCGCTACAAAAAGCTAATTAAGTTTGAAGATAGCAGGTATCGCTAAACAGAAGACACAGGTGTTTCATTTCGTTCGACGACGGATGAATTTGGATAAAGAAGTAGAGGCGGAAGGTGTACATGGAAAGAGTCGTTAAATAGAACAGACGGAGGTAAAACGAAGGTATTTGTTTTGGTGGAGGTTTTTGGTGTTGAGCAGCCGTATCTAAGTGATTGTTCACACTTGATGTGGTGTCACATCCAGACAAATCATGTGCAAAAATAAGAACATTACAGATTTCACGCAGAAGATCTCTTGGTTGGCTTTGTTTTGATTCTGGAGGATCTGCGACGCATCCGAGAAGGCGTATAGGGCAGCAATCTATCCAAGAGCGGAACAAGGGCAACTGACGTTATTCTCACCGCAAAATGAGGTGGCACCGGTCAAGAGAAAAGCAACTGTACCCAAGTTAGAATTATGCGCGGTGCCATTATTGGCAAGACTGGCACAGAGAGCAGCAGGTAACACTAAATGTTGAGAGTGCCATTGTATTTTGAGCGACAGCAGTATACCATTAGCATGGATCAAAGTCATCAGATGGAATACATTCGTATCCAATCGGGTGATAGAAATCAATAAACTGGCACCACATCAACAGTGGAATCACGTCCTTGCAGAATTGTCAAGGGAGAGTCCGGGAATCACAATAGAAAACAACGCCATATGGTGGAATGGACTGAACTACTGTAAATTATGTCAACGGGACGTTTTATTTGGTATCAGCAACTGCAGTAATGTTGAATCACCCTGTATGTGTTAATTAATTTCTTCAGTCGATCGCTTGTGTGTGGCATTTGTCTGCTGGCCCTGAGCGCCATTAATCCAAAGCGAGTGGGGTGGATGGTACTAATATCAGTGTTATAAGATTATGTGTGCCGTACTTGCTGACAGTCATAACGCATTTAGTGAATTACTGTATTTCACATTCGGTCTTTCCTATGTGCTGGAAGCAGGCACGGGTAACACCTTTAGCAAAAACAGCCACCCCCACCAGCCATAAAGATTTACGGCCAATTAGTATATTGCCAGCCTTATCCAAGGTTGTTGAAAAAGTCATCTGTGTGCAAAATGCATCCAAAGTCCAATAACATCATACCAAAAAATCAATCCGGCTTCAAAGACGGACACAGTTGTAATACGGCGTTATTAAACATAGTGGATGATATTATGCGCGCAACAGACAAGGGTAAAGTAACGGTATTGGTGTTGTTGGACTTTTCGAAGGCATTTGATACGATCAACCATGGTTTACTTCAATCTATGTTAAAGTATATTGGTCTTCGTCCTACAGCTGTAAGCTTAATTGCTAATTACCTTTGTAATAGGACACAAATAGTTTCCGTAGGCGGTAATATTTCACAATCGTTACTTGTGAAGAGCGGTGTTCCGCAGGGGTCTGTATTGGGTCCCATATTATTCACCATATACATATCGACATTTCCTGGCGTTCTTCATTCTTGTTTGTCTCATTTTTACGCTGATGACACTCAAATATATTACTCTTTTTTACCCCATGAGGTGCACCAAGCGTGCGTAACCATGAGCGATGAGTTGGAGCGCGTGTCAGGAGTGTCGGCAGCGCACGGCCTCCTTTTGCAACCCTGATAAATCGAAAATGGTACTTTTCGGTAGTCGTCAAAATAGGTTTAAAGTTATGGATAGAATAAATATAACGATAAATAATAGGCCGTTGACGTTGGAGGATTGGGTGAATAATTTGGGGCTTACCATGGATTCAGGATTCAGACTTGCGTTTTGATCATCATGTTTCAAAGTGTTTGCGAAGCGGTTATGCAAGTCTAAAACTTATTTATCAAAACCGACACCTATTTGGCACTCAGCATAAGAAACTTCTTTGTAACACTTTGGTACTATCCAGGCTCAACTACTGTGACTCTCTGTATGGTCCATGCCTTGGTTCGGTTAATATAAACAGAATTCAGAAGCTACAGAACTCGTGCTTAAGGCTAATATTTGGAATAAGAAGGCGAGAACGTATTAGTCATAAATTGGTTGAGCTCGGATGGTTGAATATGAAAAATCGTCGCCTCTTGCATGCCACAGTCTTATTCCACAGTATCATAATAAATAAAACACCGACTTACTTGTACGAGAAAATTAATTTTCGAACGGACGTGCACAATCTTAATTTGAGGTTCAAGGGATTGTTAACGCCTCCGATTCATACAACACAAGCGTTCAAAAAATCTTACACCTATTATATTACACATGCGTATAATGAACTACCCATGAACCTTAAATCGCTTTCCCTAAAAACCTTCAAATCCATTATTCATAAAGATCTGCTTAGGGTACAAACAAATACAGTTTAAGTAAGTGCTCCATTTCTCCATTTCTAAATTTTCACATATTTATACCGGTAAGATTATAGTACACCTAAATTGATGCAATTTATATTTATCTCTTTTTTTTTCTTTTTTTCTTATATTCTATACTTCTTTTATAATGTAATTTTCGTCTTTTTCACCGATCGGAATTCAAATAGCAAGGTTAAGTGTAAGAACAGATGGCATTATTTTGCTGCTAATCTGAACTTCGCCTTGTACTAACTTTATCTGTTGTTTATTTTTCTTGTTTTTTTAATAAAGGCAATATTATTATTATTATTATGGTCGGTGTATCTTGTGAGAACTCAGGTCTAGCCTGGTTAACTAATCGCAGGGATTAAAATCAAGTAACGATTAGTGTCTGTGTCTGTGTCTGGTGAAGTTATGTAGGGTCCTAAAAAATAAAAAAAATAAAATACATAAATAAATAAAATAAAAATTCACACACTCACATTGGAAATCTAGAGATAGTATGTAATTCATACTTACCAACATAGCTATTGATGGGCACAATAGCCAACGCTATCAGGACAAAACAAAACAAACAAAAAAGATCATTATAATAATTCCTGTAATTTTATTAAATGGAGTCAAAGATCATACTACCACAGATTAAAATAATCCAGATATATCACGCCATGTAAAAATATGCTGCGCGAAATTTGGATTTCACCGCCAAGTGTGTTAAATCCAAATTAACTTTCTAGTACAGTTTCAAACCCAAACATTAAAATTAAAGTTCATTCTTTGTTAGAAAGATTTCTGCAACGTTCCTACGAAATGGCAAAGCAGAAGAGAGAAGAAAAAATCTTTTATTTATATAACATAATACCTAAAGGTATAATGTTACACAGTCTGCGATAAAAGTTTATCATTTATTCTTTGTAGTGAGTGAACTCCACTTTATAGTACGACAATCTCACAAACAAGTTGTAGCTTTGTTTATTCATTTGCAAAGGTTGTAACTAGTAGAAAATTGAAAAATGTTAAACATAGCTAGGTAGGTTATTCCTAATGTCCTTAATGAGTTAATATCTGATATCTGTATAGGATGAAATAATATTATTTACTATAGGTACCTACCTAATCGTTATTTAATATGGATTTAAGGTTTTGAAAAATAAGTACGGTAAATGCTTGTTATTTCAAAAAATCCATACTGGCGTACGATCGTTTTAATATACGTTCAGATAGCTGGCTATCGCGCGATGGGCGATGAAATGCTGTGCGATGCGATGAATTCAAACCTCCAAACGTTTATTAAGACAACTATTTTATGCGATGCGATGCTACTTTGGGCGATGGTCTGAAATTCAAGCAAGTTTGATTGATCACCACTCATTGCAAGCGAAGTAGACAGTGGCTTTATTAACGAGCCCTAGCGAGTTTATAATTTTGCGGTGTCTGTCCGTCCGTTAGCACGATATTTCGGTAACGAATGGGCCGATTACGATAAAATTTAGTAGATGGATTCTTTATCAAGTTTGTGGATCGGAGTTCGTGAATTGGCAATGTAGCCCAAAAAATAAGGGAGGCCATTTGACATCTCCGTGAGTTATGAACGGAATTGTATGAAATTCAATATGCGTATAGATTTAGCCATATAAAACGCAATTCCAAAAATTGAGCCTAATCGATCAACATTCACAATGCCCTTTTCGCATCTCAACCATTTATAAACTGAATTGCAAACTTTTTTATTTATGAAGGTATTTTAATGAAATTTGATACAGGGACACTTGGAATAAAAGCAAATTTAACGCCAGTTTTAAAATTTGGTTTTGCACATGCTACAGCCATACCCAGGAGCTCGTTTTCTATATTTGTTTATTTGATTCTCAATATAGGTAATTAAATGTGGTCCAAAGTCATTTGAAAATAGACTTATTTTACAACAACCGATATCAATTTCACAAAAAGGTGATAAAATTCACAAAATACCGTTCCTTTCATATTGATGTATTTACCAATTTACGTTTTTATACGGTTAAAGGTTGATTCTCACTATACATAACGTTTCCATACCATATCCATTCCATAACCATTCCGTAAATTATTATAGGGTACGAAATTGACCTTTAAGTGATATGTGCGTAAGACATTAAGTCGCGCGCTAATACACATTCGCCTTCCATATGTGAACGGAAAGGAGAGTGTGTATTAGCGCGCCGCTAAATGTCTTACGCACATATCACTTAAAGGTCAATTTCCTAGATATAATAATTTACGGAATGGTTATGGAAAGGATATGGTATGGAAACGTTATGTATAGTGAGAATCAACCTTAATTTGGATTCTATATATATTTTATAGAGAACTTTCCGCCGGTAGTATGTGCCGTCTATTATATAAGTTTCGTTATTGTAATGTACATAGAACGGAGAGTGGAGACTAACCTGCGACTACTTTCGTAAATATGGAATATGGTACAAGAAATTCTTGCGATTAATTGCATCGCATGGCAACTTGTTAGAAAATGCAAGGATATTTGCTTGAGATTAATCGCATCGCATCTAAAAGTACCTCATCGCGCAATAGCGTCCTATCTGAACGTAGCTTAAGGCATATGTACGTCAACTTTTTGATAATTTTTAGTATTAGAAGAAATTATAGCTTATTGATTTTTAAGAATGCGAAGTTTAGCATGCGCTGTTTCTTTGACGTGCTGTGTAGATTGCCATTTACACCATTTGAAAATTTTTGTCCGAATCAATAATTGCAACAGATACTGCCTATGAGCACTACATTCGCCGACTTCTAAACTGAACTCTGGGAACTGTACACTAATTAACTTAGAAATACGTGAATATATATACAACCCTAATCCACTTCGCTCCGGTTTAAATCTTAAACACTTAGAAATTATTTTTAAGCTATGTTCAACTATGTCTACTAATACCGCACTTGGTGATCTTAAACCTACTGATGTCACTAATTTGTTATCATACATTTTTTTCACAATGAGTAATTGGTTCTTCTCATTTAACTGATCTTGTGATATCAACAGTTGTCCACAACCATTACACTTGTATTTATCAATACATTTTTTTGCTAAGTAACCTGCAAAATACACTGTTGCACAGTCCTCTAATGTCACTTCTTTTGGGGTAGAAGAAGTACTGCAACTGGAGGATATTGAAGATGACGAAGAGGACCTTTCATATTTTACGGATGCACAGTTTGCACTTCCTAAATCATCTACTTCCCCTTTTTCAACTAGTTTCGGAAATAACATCTCATCCTGGTCCTGCTCACAATTTGACGTTTCTGGAGGCTGCATAAGACGTGTCAACGTAATTATTCGTAAACTGGTTCTGAAGACTCTACTGGAGGGATTTCTGTTAAAACCACCTCTTTGTCTGATACAGGAGAAAAGGTTTTCCAATACGTCTTGATTTAATCGAGACGTGAGCAAAAAAGTTGTATCTTCTTCATTAAAGATACTAATAATCGAATTTATTGTCAAAATAAGACCATCTATAGAGGGAGGTTTCGAAACCTTACCCTTCCTATCAATTTTATGTAACGCACAGAGGACTTGTTTGGCTGTGTTGAGAGTATTCCATGCTAATGTGTTTTCCTTGGAAAGTGCCGAATTGTAGGGATTCTTACTGTATGGAACCCTGCTGTTCAAAAGTTTTATTAATTAGCAATAGAAACTCCGCAGTATTTTCAGCGGAACTGCTGGTAAGCTGACCCGTATCAATGCACGTTCTTATCGCCCCTGACATGCTATTGCTAAAGATTTGCAAAGCTAACTTACAGTTCATGCGTTGGAAAGCGTTTGGATTTATGTGAGCGTCGGTTATTTTTACCAAAGCCCTAGCACTACCACTGTTTTTATCAATTTCATAAGTTTGTACAATATCGCTAAATGACACCCTTTTATCGTTTATAATGTAATCACCATTTAATAAATTATTTCGAAGACTTTTAATGAGATGAGGCACGTCATACACTACATAGATTTGCTGTCCTTCAAAAAAAAAGTATGGTTTCTCTTTTGATACCAAAAGTTGCTTAAAGGTGGACACATTTGTGGTTTCCTGATCGCATATTATTGCCTTTAATTGCAAGCCGCAGCTCTTAATTTTTATGATGGCGTCTTGAATTAGTGTTGTCAATTCTTTGGAGTTAGGACCTGTATGCGACAAAAAATATGCAATTGGCAACTTCCATTTCGAGTGTAGCCCTCTAAGCATAAATACCATTGCTTTTTTTGCTCTTTTATTCCTCCTGCCGAATGGTAACCCAAGATCTTCATATCCTTCTATGCAGTCTAATGATTTTGAATATTCAATGATACTCATGATGGACATTTCATCTAGACACAAAACACATTTTTTCTCAATACTGTCGAATGTTTGTGCCTTTAATTGCAGCTGATGAAAAAACTGCTTTGTAAAACCCGGCTTAAATACCGAAGCACCTATCCAACGCTTTATTGTGGCTAGAGAAGGTAATTTAAAACCTGCAAAATAAAATTCCATAGATAGTCGACATCATTCGAATAAATTTACCTTTTTGCAAAAATCCTCGATAAGTTGATGGTGAGCTGTAGTACAACCATATAGCAAATTCCTTTTCATTTTTATTCCAGGAAGTATTATTTTTGTGAAATAAATTCATGTCGACAAAGGTTTTCGGATCTTTTTTTAATAGACTATAGCTGTATTCTGCTGAATTTGAAGACAGGGCACTTAAAGTCGCATTCTTCTTTTTCAAAGATTTCTTTAGGCGAGACATGTCTGCTCTTTTTCTTGAGAGAAGTTTTCGTTGATTCGACAGGCAAAGTCGAAGTTTCTTCTCTTTTGGAGTATCATTTTTAAACTGCAGCTTTCTTTTCGCGTTTTTTTCCGGTGGAGAGGGAAGGGAAGATAGTGAGTTTAACCACACCGATGTATCTGGGCTGATATTTAGCGTTTCCATTGTGTCAAAGGATGTACTAGGTTGTGGTGAGGGCGATCTTAGCAATTCGTGTGGAAATTCTTTCTTTCTGGTGTAAACTTTCAATGGTTTATTCACATGTAAATGTTCCTCGAAATGTTCGGTGTCAAAATCGTATTTCATAGGCACTGTGCCTTTAATGAGCCTTTCATTGGAAGATTTTGTGAAGTCTTCCAATCGGAAATGTTTTTCACAGATTTTTTTATTTTTTAATGAATTCGGTGACAGTGGAATCAGATGTGTAGCCCCTGTAAAGACGTGCTTTTTTATCTATAGGGAAGATTTATTTGATGATTGTATATAACTGGGCCACCGTGAAGCTGGTCGCCAAAAATTGGCGATTCGAAAATGTATAATGTCAACTTGATGAGAGCTGAGAGCACCAAACAAATTCTGCATAAATCCCCAAAGATAAATGAATTACCTTCTTCAGAATTCAGTGTAGCAAAACTTGTTTGGATGATTCATGGTATCTCTCCCGTTTCTGGAAAATCCGATTCCAGAAAATCACAGCCGGTCAACTTCATCATAGTGTACCGAAATGATTTCGGAAAACCTCCGGCGATTAATATAAGTACCCTCTTCTAAATTTAATGTAGGTATCTCAAACCAGCAAAGCTCAATTTTTAACGGCCAACTTCATGGCAGCATTAATTGGTAATAGTTCATATTATGTATGATTTACAATAAATGATCAAATACTATCAATGAAACAAGAATGACTAACCAGCATTATTAATCCAAACGCGGCACAGGTTTTCATCCTTAAAAGGAAATCCATACATTTTAAGATTGGGTTCCACTCGTTTTGAAACACCACATTGAAAGTACTGACAAACATTTCCTGCTTTGGCCATTTTTATAATTAACACAAAAGTATCTAGGTATTTAAAACAATAATAATTGTAATTACGATAGACTATTTAAAAAAATTAAAACACAAAAATACGTCTTTATAAACAGAAAATGTGTCTGAACTGTTCAAGTGTTAAGCTTAAAGTGTCTTTTTTTATATTCCTTAACGGTTAAGTAATGCGATTCCCTTTAAACCTTAATTCAAAGTTCATATTCGGCATCCCACAATAAATGGTTACACAATGCAAAACAGTCCGTTGTAATCCGTATCCGTAAAAAAATAACGAGAAAATTTATTTGCGAATATCCTAACTTTCGTAATTATAATAGGTATGCACCTTACATGGGATATCCTGACCTACAGATAAAGTGTTTTGACGGAAATATGATATTCTTTTCTTTAAATCATTTTATATTACACATGCCTTCTCAAATGTATTACAGTACAGTTTCCAACCATTCGTTTACGATGAAAAAAGTGCATTTACGAGCTAAGCATTTGAACATTTTACGGTAGTAGCGCTAGCAGACGGATTTCTGTTCAGCGCAAGCATTTCGTATATCTCATGAGCCGTCTGTAGTATTTTGTCTGTGATACTACACTAGATAGCCAGCGTATATGCAAGAGTTGTTTCGCGTTTAAGTAGTTCCATAAAAATATTTATAGGGGGCTTTCAAAGTTAAGAACGTAACTGATTCATCCGAAGCCGTCTTCGTACGAGTTCGAATCATATCATAAATACAAAGAGTGATTATTGTCTAAACACGAGACACATAAACATGACCTACTGAACACTCCTCACTATCATTGGGATAAAATTACATTTGTACGTGGGCGTCATTCAAGACAAGGTAGTTTCTATTACAGACAGGACGTTACAATGAAAGAAATAATTTGAAAGGTTGTACACAATATTCCTTTTGCTTTTTTTTAACCAGCGCTAACCAATACATTTTCCAGATTTTCGGATTAAATTAATAATTGCAAAAGCGTCTTTTTTCTTAGCATAATTTCTGAAAACTTTTAGTTTCACGTATCTACGATACTTAGATTTGTTGTAATTAAGCATTTTATGATTGGGATAAACGAGATATCCCGCTTAGCCTCCTACATAATAAAATTGTATCCAGCTAAAGTGAGTCGGAACTAGAAGCGTCTGTGGTTATAATTTCAAAGAAATATCTCCATAAATATGAAAGTTGGCATTGCGCAGTCTGCGCAAAATATGGAAAATATGAAACTGATCGAAATGGGCAAATATAGACCATAACGGCTATCAATTAGCGAAAACCCGAAGTCTCTAGGTGGCCCAGGGGCCGAGATCTCGATGGAACGGACGGACGGACAGACAGAAACACGAGCACATAAGCTTTACCTCAACTTCGTTGTGTTACGATAAAAAATTTAATTTAAAATAAGATGTGAATATTCGGAATTTTAATTTACAGTAAGGTAACCAGATAAAACATCTATTAACACCCACACAAGGTTGCGCTTAAGAATGACACCGATATCCCATACAATAGCCCTTTGTTAACTGTGCTTTGCCATTTCGCGAGTCTTCTTACCCCGCCAGGTAGTTTGTACTATTCTCATAAAAACATAGCCGCTGGAGGACGCAGTCGACTTATGTGGCGGGACAAATTATGAGAGTCTAAAATTTATACAGCGCTGTCTATCTAGTGTAGTATGATCTTTGATGGAGTTTATTGTGTAAGTGTTTCTTTGGCTTTGCGTTTGAGTTGAATACGAGTGGGTTGTGATAACGTGGTGTGTTTCTGTGAAGAAGGAGTTTTGTGTTTTTTAACTGTGCTAGGACATGTAATTTTATTGGGTGGACCTGTCTTTGTGGTGCATGTTGCCTTACTTGTATTTATGGTGTTTCTTTGTTCTTGAGGTTGTATTTGTGAGGTTGCTTGGGTTTTTGGTGGAGATATTACAGTATTTTGTGAGCTAGTAGTGCTGTTTAGATTTTTGCGCTTCGGTTGAATACGAGTCGTTTGTTTCTGAGAAGAAGGAGTATTATGTTTTTTAACTGTGCTAGGGCGTGTAACTTTATTGGGTGGACCTGTCTTTGTAGTGCATGTTGCGTTACTTGTATTTATTGCGTTTGTTTGTTCAGGGAGTTGTGTTTGTGTGGTTGATTGAGTTAAGGGTGGAGATATTACAGTATGTTGTGTCTCATGTTGTGAGTCTAAAGTGCTGTTTAGGTTTTTGCGTTTGGGTTGAATACTAATGGGTCGTGATAATGTGGTTTGCTTCAGAGGTGAATCTCTGATTGTAGTATATGTTGTATCATTTGTTGTACTTGTTTGTTCGGTAAGTTGTATTTGTGTGTTTGTTTGGGTTAGAGGTGGAGATATTACAGTATGTTGTGTACCGTGTTGTGAGCGAGTACTGTTGTTTACATGTATACGTTGTGGATCATTTGTGTATGTAGTATCTTGTGTTATGTTTAGAAATTTACGAACAATATGGCATGTGTTGATAATGACTGCTTTTTGTAAATGTTTGTATGTGTTTTTGTCTAAACCTAATAGTTGTAAATTGTGGTGTATTGTCTTTGGTATAACTCCGGTAGCACTAAGAATAATGGGAACTATAACAGTAGATTTCATTCTCCATTGCGTCTTAAGCTCGATAGCTATAACGGTGTATTTACGGTGTTTTTCTGCATGTGTTTTAGTTAAGTTGTTAGTGTTGGGTATGGCAATGTCTATAATACAAATGGATTTTTGTGTTTTATCTATAAGTGTAATATCTGGTCTATTATTGTGGATAGTTTTGTCTGTGAGTAGTGTCCTGTCCCAATATAATTTGTGTGTGTTGTTTTCAAGTATGATCTGTGGCGTGTATTTGTAGTATGGTGTCTTATCTGTTGTGAGATTGTGTTTAAGTGCTAATTTTTGATGTATGATTTTAGCTACCTGATCGTGTCGATGTTTGTATTCAGTTTGTGCAAGTCGTGTGCATGCCGATATTATATGTTGGATTGTTTCTGATGTTTGTGAACAGAGTCGACAAGAATCGTTTGTCACTGTTTTGTCTTTATGTATGTGTTTTTTATAGTTACGTGTGTTAATGACCTGGTCTTGTATTGCTAACATGAAACCCTCAGTCTCCGGGAAGACATCACATTCAGACAACCAACTGTGCGTTGCTATAGAATCAACACAATCCTGGCTAACCTCTTGTGGAAATCGTCCATGTAAAGGCTTTTGGTTCCATGTTTGTATGTTATTTGTGATGTATGTAAGTTTGGATGTGGGTGGGAGTATATTAGTTTCGTGTAGGTTAAGTGGTGTGTAAGATTTGTCTTACATTGCATTTAATCTTTAATTATTGTTACATTAAACGTACAATTTGTTTGTTGTTTCCTATAGAAAGAACACGTTCTTCATTTAAACCTGAAGCAATAGAGATCAATGAGTTTTTCTTAACACTTTCCAATTACAATTTTGTTCTGTAAAGAATCTTCGATATACAGTGGCGTACGTAGAAATTTATTCGGGGGGGGGGGGGGGGAGTTCGTGGCACATACAGTCACCCAGTGCGTACTAGAAGGGGGAGGGGGGGTAAGAAATAGAAATTGGGTTGCAGGTTGCTGATGCTGGTAGTCATTTATCTATTTATTATTGTACAGGCGAAAAAGATTAGATTAGAACGGTATTTTATTTCTTACTGCTGACAGGCCCCTTTATTGCTTTTGCTTTAATTAGTCAACGAAAACTTTGAATAATAGGTATATTTATGGGCAAAAAAACCAATTTCGACAAAAAATTCAAACGGCTGTAACTTTTGATCTAGTAGTCCGATCTTGGAACTGTTTGAAATTATGGATTCTACATGCCACATTCTATAAGAAAATATTTTCCGGTCGATCTGAGACAATTTTTTTTTCTGGGCAAAAAAAAAGGCAGTTATTACCTTCCTTTTTTACCAAAAATCGGCTGCACCAAAATTTCTCGAGAAAAAACTTTTTTTTATAAATTTGGGTGCGTAGAATCCAAAACGATTCGTACTTTTTCGATTAGACGTCTCAATCAAAGGTTATGGGCAAAAAAATTCCTGTTAAAAAATATAACATTCTTATTTTCGTCATTTCGTGAAAGGCAGGACGCAGGTACCTCACCTCAGTAGCAGTACTGTACCTGATACCTATTTGTTATTTTGGGCATCCAATGTAGCGAATTGACGATCTATGCCGAATAGCCAAATCGTTGACTGCCAACACTGATCACTCACTGAATAGTGAATACTGAATACTACAGAATATTTAGATTTTAGTGACTTTAGACTTTTAGCCTGGTCAAAGTACACAAAATATCCGTGAAATGCAGCAAAAAGTAAAAACCTTTTGGAAATCCAAATTTAGGTAGTTAAAAGGATTGTGCTTAATATGAGAAAATCTTTACCAATTTAGGTAAGCAATTTTCCGGAAGAACTTTGGTCGAAAATGTTGTTATTTGTTTTTTCACTTTAATTGTTTAAATAATGAAAATACAGGAAAATGTTCAAATCAAAAATTATAGCCAATGCATTTACCTACAAAATTTGTCTAAAAAGTTTTCTGATATCTTCATTAGTTTTTGAAATATACCAAATTTTCATAAGAGTATGTTTAAACATCATCAATTTTCAAGTTTTTAATTTTAAGATAGTAAATAAACAATGACACGTAGAAACGTAGAGTTTTTATTTATTAATAATATCGAAATCAATCAATATCATTCGTCTTCCGAGCTCAAATATAACTCAATATCATTTTCATCTTCACTGAAGTTATCCTGAAAATGTGAACCTTGAGTGTCTTGATTATCACAATTTATAGTTGTTTGATCGTCGAAGTCATCATTATCTTCATCTTCGTCAATATCTACGTTGTTTTTTTCTAAATTAGTACAATTTCCTGTTTGACAGTGACCACATGCAGGGGAACAAGGTAGCCCAGCTTTTCTACAGCCGCAAGCCTTTTTACAACCAGGTTTGCAGTTACAAAAGATCATATTTAAAATTCCAAGGGGAGCAGCGTCTTGCTTCATTTTTATAGACATTAAAATATCTTGTTTTTGCCAACCGCAGGATTCAGGAGAAATTTTAGAAGATAACCATTGTTGAATCTGACAATACACTAAAAAAATGTTGTCTTGCAGCGTCTGATGTAGGTGGAAGAGTGGCCAAATTCAGTGCTTTTTTTTACGGCTTTTAACTTGATTTTTCACCTTCATTCATACTCCCTTCTCTTTCATACCTGAGGCATAAGTGTGTTCATATGTATCGCGATCACTTCTCTATACAATTAATACCAAGCTGGCAAAAGTCTGAATAATATATGAACACTGAAAAAAGTTATGTTAGATTTTCTAAAAAACGTCTGATTTTAGCACTTATTATAAATTTGATATTTACAGAAAAACTGTATTAAGTTTTGAAAGTATATACTTACTTCAAAGTATTTACAGATAAAGTTTCATTGAAAGATATTAACTTTGTCAGTTTTTTCAGTGCATCACAACCTTCAAATTATTAACTTTTAAATCAAGCCTTTAACCCTTCAGTGGTGACGCACGGTCTCTCAGACCGACGAAAAGTATTTTTCAAATTTTTGTAAAAACGGCGCAGCGCATGGCACTACTAGTTCTGCTAGCTTAATATTTTGCGTGTCTGAGTTTAGTACCAGACGAACAACTTGATGAAGCAAGCCGTTCTTTGACAATTAACCCTTTCGGTCTGTCAGACCGACGTCACCATTGGTGTACCTAAAAATTCAAGCTGCCACTGCACATTCTTTCAAACAGAAATCAAGAACAATTCGGAAATTTGGGTATATTTAGTGCCGTAAGTAATTGGCCGCCTTCCGGTGCATCGCCGCCATTGATGCTACGAAAATTCTAGTCAGCGCAGCATTGCAACGCGCATCCCCCCGTAAGTTTAGTATTGTGTATTGTATTGTGTGTATAACAATGTAGTTATGGTCAGTGGCGGTTCCAGGGGGGCCGGGCCCCCCCTATTGTTCATTTTTTTAATCAGATTTATTTTATTTTTTTCCGTGTTTGGACAAAGTTCGGGTTTGGGCCCCTTCCTTTACCAAATCCTGGGACCGCTACTATCAGTGGCGGTCCCAGGGGAGGGGGGGGGGCGTGGGCCCCCCATTGTTCATTTTTTCCATTAGATTTCTTTTATTTTTTTCCGTGTTGGGACAAAGTTCGGGTTTGGGCCCCTCCCTTTACCAAATCCTGGGACCGCTACTGGTTATGTTACAAGAATAAAATTTATTTTTTCGATTTATATGCCTTTGTTTATTTATTGACTGAACTTTTTCCTTTATTTTAAGCCAAGTTACATGCGTAGTAACTATGAAATCAAGCCAAAATCAAATTCGGTCTTTCAGACCGAGGTCACCACTGGTGTTCCAAAATTTCACGTCACCACTGCAGGGTTAATAAATTCGGCTCACGGGACGTTCGCGCGCACCCACGAATCGACTTCCTCTGAAATCAATTATATTTCGTACACTTTTCAATTTACAAAAAAACTTTTCAGACAAATTTTGTAGATAAATGCATCAGCTACAAACTTTAATTGAAACTTTTTTCCGTATATTTAATATTTACACAATTAGAGTGAAAAAACAAAAACAAAATTTTTCACTCGACAATTTTCCGGAAAATTGCATACCTATCTTCGTAAAGAATTTTTCATATTAAGCACAACCCTTTTGAATACTCAAATTTGAAATTTCAAGAGGTTTTTATTTTTTGTGAAGCTATATGTGTACTTTGACCACGCTATTTCACCAAAACCAAAATTGCTCTCTATATATACCTATATATTGTTGCCTTTATTTTAAAGTGGGCGGAGCGGATAGCGGAGTATTACCTAAATACCTAATAGCTATGATGATAACTCAATTCTTCTGGGGGGGGGGGGATATATCCCCTTCATCCCCCCCGTAAATACGCCACTGTAGATATACCATTCGGCCACCGGCGAATACCTCGCTCATAAGCTCATAAAGGAAGTGCAAAGCTAAACTACATCAGACACAGGCACAATTTTATGAAATGATTAATTTCAATTTTGACAAATAAACTGGTTACCTAGTGATGTACACCATACCACTTCGATCATTTCGATTTATTCTGCTCGTTAATTTCTTAGTGCAGATTTATAGTGGTTGCATAATTTTAATTTCCATCGCGCAAAAAATGTTATAAGCACTTCGAACGTTAAGGGTTACCGTTCTCAGACAATAATTGGAGTCGTCGCTTCGCTCCTCCTCCAAACAATTGTCTTCGAACGGTAAAAATCCCTTACCGTTCTCCATACTTAATACACTATTATTACCACGATACACTTACACACGGTATGCTCATTATTTTTCTCAAACGCGTTTTCTACTGCGCATTACGTCACCTGCGAACGTGTGGCGCCAAAATTCAAATGTTTACGCACGGAAAAATCCAGTACAGATGTCACGCGTGACAGTTTGCACCTTTTCAGTTGTATTTACGAGTTTTATAGTGTTAATTTGTTGATAGCTAAGCATTAATGTGTTGATAGCTAAGTAATCATTAGTGAAAATTCCAAAATGCCAGGTTGTGTGTGGAAATAAAATAGGTACTTTCGATTTCCGAAAATTGAAGACTTTTCTCTAAAATGGATTGTTGCAAGTCGTCGTAAGGACAAAATTACCTTGAAAAATGGTGTTACATTATTATTAAGTGGTGTGTTTAAGTCTTTCCATTGCTGTTTAATCCTATATCCTGTATTTGTTATGAACATTTTGAAGCCAGCCGTTTTGAAGCACCGCTAAGGGAACGACTTCTTAATTAGACCTACTTTTAAAAACAGCGGATGTTTGAAACCTGATGCTTTACCTACTTTAAAACTACCGTGTAATAATGAAAATCAAAATAAAAGGGACACGGAGGAGAGATTAGATCTTTTGATAACGCATTAATTATATAATTTTTACTGAAACAGCCGCATTTCATGTTTAGGATCAATTTTGGTTAGAGTTTATTTCACACGATCACGAAATCCCAGAAATAACTTACGCGAGGATTTCTACACAAATCAGTATGATTTGTCAACTAACCTTGTGATTTGTCGATCTAAGCATCGTAATTTTGCTCTATATTCTGTGGTTTTGTTCGCACGTGACGTCACGCTAGATGCGCAAGAGCATACCGTTGTAAGTGTATCGTGTTTATTACCATAGCATAGGGACTGTCGTACCAACGCAGCGTTCCTATGGTAACTTGTTAACCAGCGATTTTTTGAAAGAACGCGTTCTCTAACTCCATACATATTAAAGGGGCAGTATACCCAAATTTCATGTTTTCGTCTAAAGATAGATTAAAAATATCTAAGAGTAACGGTGAAAACCGCAAGTTGCTTTGCTACGCCGTTTCGTTATTAAATGGTAAGGTGTCGAATGTAAAAAACGGTCGTTGTGACGTCATCCCGACAAATGGGTCGGTGGCGCGCTATAGCAATATATGGATTCGATGACGTTTGACGTGTTAATTTGAGACTGGTACTCAGTGATCTGCATTGTGTTTTCCGCTGCGACAATAATTTGAAAAATGCCAATGTTACATTGCAAATTTTCCCCGAGAAAAGGAGGAGCCGTGTCGAAATAACGTCTGGAAAAGTAGAAAAAACCGCTGAATCATAATATAGTCACGTCGTTTGCAGTGTCCACTTTAAAGATGATAATTTTTTTGGAAGATACAAGAAGGCAAGGACCCTGTGCCTCAGCATAAAGTTTTGAGAAGGCTGACAATACTGCAATTCCTTCTTTACATCTCACAGGAAACAAAGGTCCTAATAAAGCTATGAAACGTCAGTCAACTCAACTTATCTAAGAAAGTAAGATTGTGTCTGATTGCTTATTGTGGGTAAACGATCAATTTCGTAGTGGAGAAACCAGTTCAACATCAAACATATGCCACAATCAAACAGAAGAACTGAATCAAATGGAACCAATAACACTTACTGAAAGCATAGGTATCCAATGTGAGCTGGGTACAGAAATTTAACAAATATATGAGGATATATGTTCGGATGATACTTCAGTAAGGTTTTCTTGTTTTTTTCAAAAGAAATCGAAATAGAATATGAAAGAACTGACGCGTTCGGACTGCTTGGACCCGTGCCGCCGCACCCACGATGTCGGGATGACGTCACATGTTCTGTCTTTCAAACTTTCATCGTTAATAATTTGAAAACTACTCATCGTAGAAAACTCCGGTTTGAAATTTTGTTCTTAGATTTTCTTCTACAATTTTTTTTATTTTGGGTATACTAGGTACCCCTTTAAGTGTTTCAGTTTCGGAAGTACGAAAAATATCGTATATACCTTGTGACTGAAGTAGTGGTCTTAATCCCTCAAGTAAATGCAACTTTACCTTCGGGATAAAAGTACTACTTCAGTCCCGCGGTATATGATATACTATTATACAATACTAGCGTTTATCCATCAGAATTATTCACGAAACTTTGTTTTTCGTTCCCATGGTCCCTTCTCAGCGGTTGCTATTTTAATTTTTATGTCGATCACAGAGGGATGGTATGTACTAAAAAAATAATATTCAAAAGACTTAAGAGGTAGGTAGTACAGAAAATAATGTTTGCTTTATTTTTGTTTTGTTGTATTACACATGTAAACTATTAGATATATATTGTTGAGGAGTCCCTGAGACATTAAGTTATTCGAGTTTCAATTCCAATATGCTAAATGCAATACAAATTGAATGAAATATCAGCTTGTTTGGATCTTACTCCTGTCAATTAACTGTACGTTTCCTGCAAGGAATTTTATTTTGATTTCAAATCCGAACCAACTCCCAAGTAGAAGCTCTTATGATGTAGGTAGGTAATTGAGTTTTTTGCATAATATAAAAATGTATGTTTAAACGGTCATTAATTCTAATTAACTTTACCTTCAAAAATTATGATCAATTCAATTTGCTAATTACAACTTAGCTGCGCATAGCAATACTCCAATCACTTTTACAGATTACATGATTACAATGGTAATTGCCTGCTATTCCCCAAATAATAGCTATTTACACAATGCTTAAGGTATAATGCAAATTAAAATTTCATCCAGCTTACGCTCTGCGTTCTATTAACTCATTCGTTAATCCTTCAACCTCTTCTACAGTCTCTGGTAAGCTTACACTACGAGTTTTTGGTAAATGATAAGCAGACACTGCACCTATGAAAGCAGCGGTACTGAAAATTGCTGGAGGAAACCAAATCTTAATCAGGCCTAAACCAACAACGAACGGTGCAATCATCATACCCATTCTTCCGGTCATTAAACATGTAGAAACCCCCACATTTCTTACAATTGTAGGAAATAACTGGCCCGATGAAAAGTATAGCGTTGAAAAGCACACCGACATTGTGTACATTACCATGATAGCAAACACAACTTTTACCCAGTTGTAATGTGGTGGGATAAGAGCAACAAGAAAAAATAAGCAACCCGTTGCAAAGTTACCAACTATCAATGTGTACCTCAGCCCGAAGTGTTGAATGAACCATACTGATGACAAGGTTCCAGGTATCTGCATTATAGCCGACAGTGCGATATTAACAAACATATTACCTCCAAGGTGACCCACATACTGTGAATTACCGTAGAGGCAGAATCCGATGCTATACAATTGCACCAAAGACAAATAGTCCTTGTTCTCATTATTCTTGATCGAAGTATATCGTAAAATCGTCCCTTCTGTACGATAACATTCTTCCGTTTCCGAATGTAACGCCAACGTCTGATTCTATTGTGTGTTGTTGTACCTTGTTAAAACGAGCTGCTGTTCTCAGTACATGAATCGCGTCTTCAGCTTTTTTATTGAGAAGCAGCCATCTAGGAGACTCAGGAAGTATCCAGTAGTATGATAGCAGCAGTATTGGTGGGATGGATATAACTAGCTGTATTTGTTGCCAATCGCGAAAAAAGTATCCAATTAACCCTAAAGATGCTTGTCCTAAGTCAAACGGAATTTGGAATAGTATTGCTATGTGTGTTCTCCATTTCGAACCTGAAACAGTTTTACAATAAGTAGTCGCTATCAGAAGCCCCCGTAAGACAGTGCTAAAGGCATACATTTTTGAAAACTGAATTCATAATAGCTTTTTAATTCGAAAGTATTTTACCAAATGGGCTGCGTCTAAAAAGTAAAATCGCGTTGTATAACGGGAGGAAGAATCGATAAGTCAGAAAGGGAGATAAGAAGAAATAATATCGCAATCCAAGGGATGCAGGATAAAACAAAGCTATTGTCTTATTACCAGATTGTGGATGTGCGAGTATTAAACTGACCTTCTCTATCTGCCAGTAAACATAGTACTTAATTAATACATTTCTTCTATATCATGTTTGTAACGTAAGTGATCATCCAACGAACTTTATTGGCAGGCCAAAGGGCCTGTTCCAAGCGAATGTGGGATGTGCTTAATAAATAAAATGGGTCCAGGCATTGTTTAAATAATATTTAAACAATGGTCCAGGTTATCTAGTACCTACACCTACCTATAATCTCTATGAGTAGAACAAATGAGGTCACAATCATGCCACCGGTCCCTAAAGCAGCAATAAACCTGCAAATGGAAAAAATCCAGAACCATGGCACGAATGCAGCTGCTATACTTCCTACTGACTGAATTACCACGGCAGCTATTAGCGGCTTTCGACGACCAAATCTAAAACAAAAAGGATCTTATACTTTTCCCAAAGATTTTAGTCCATATCTGAACAAGGGAAACTGGATTCTGATTCTTGTTGATTACAAGACTAGTGATCCTTGCAAGACAAGACAAGACAAGAAATGTTCCCCTTTCTTGTCTTGTTGCTTCTCGCAAATTTATTTCTGTCACTTCTGGTTTCGATTCTTGTTTTATCCTGCAAATTTTTGCAAGAACTTGGGCACTTCTTGTCTTGTATTGCAAATCGTGAAGTGTGTGACTGTTTGGTATAGGAACTTACTCATATTAGTAAGGTAGACCAAGCAATCTCTTTTGCAAGAAGTCAAAAGTTGCAAAATTATTTTGATAATTCTTATAGTTATTAACCTGCACATATCATTTTCTGTTGATAAGAAAGATAGTATCCATTTATTAGGTATTCCTCTGATTCCCACGAATTCTAGTTTTTCTTTCACAAAAGCATGATTAACCGAATCGAAAGCACAAGACAAATCGAAGAAAATTGCCGTGTACTAAATATCCCTCGAATAAATTGTAGTTGTCGCTGCTTCAATCCATTTTATTTACTATTATTAGTATAGTGTTATACAGAATGCAGTCGTGCATACAAGAAAATGCAGATAAAATTTAATGCTCAATCAATTTAAACAGTGATTACGAGTGAAAAGTACGGATTACCGCGATATTAAGAGGAATTAATAACAGTTAATGAGTAATTACGTTTCCGTCGCATAAAGGAGATATAGACGTGATCAAGGACAAACTAATTAAGCGCTACAAGAAATTTTCGATTTTTTAAAGAAATCAGTGCAGTGCTACAAAATAATAATAACAATAATAATAATAGATGGTTTTTATTGATTAGGAAAAATTGGTTCCTACACAATTATCAATAGGTTCAGGGTCAGATAAACCATTAGACTATCTGTTCTTCCCCCTGTATCCATAGAAACATAAAGCATATATTACTACACGTAGATTCTGCGAAATAAAACAATTAGCAGAGTTCAACTTTGATTATAAACAAGCAAACATCTACTAAGTAACGACCTACCAACAAAGGAATGAAAAAAACAAAAACAAAAACAAAAGAAAATTATGTTAAATTATGTTAAATTTCGCATCTTTGGGCAGAGGCAATAACCTTCTGTAAACCGAATTATTACAGAATATTACAGCAATAATAAGTACGACGGTACGACGCATACATCTGCCACTCTTCTTCTAGCATCAGGTAAGCACGATAACGTTCGTTGGGCGCTAACTTCAAATACCAAAGACCTCGTGGATCCTTCACAAAAAATACATTGCCGTCTCCCAATAGTGCGTTCTCCCTGAGACACACAGTATAAACAAATGTTTCGATTTCCCGTAACACCAAACCTTTGTGATGAATTGTAGCTTGCCCGTAATTCTTACATGCCAGGATTGACCATTAAAAAAACTACGTTCAGAGAACATTTGCATCATGTGAAAATTCACTGAAGAAGTTATGCCAAGTTGCAGTTTCGTTTGCCTTTTCCTGACTCATTATCACTTAAGTAGGATTGTCTCCAACCTAACTTTGTATCGACGTCGTTTCCTGCAAAAGGACCGTCTTATATGAGGGACTATTTTCCATTTATTTGGCATTAAAGGTCTGAATCTTTAAGAAAAACATCGTAAATGATAATTGATTAAAGTAAGAACAAACAGAAAGGAAAACTTGACGCTTTTTTGTATTGCATTTTTCCATTTAAAAACCCTACTCGAATTGGTTTTTATGGATAAAAAGTCAGATTCTTATTTTAAGTTAGTTTGTATCAATTTCAGTAAAGAAAACCTTCAGCCGGTTCATTTATGATTATATTATAGGTGAACTACTATAACAAATGATACCATATATTTGTTATGAGATTTGATATTAAGTTCTGGTTAGTTCAAAAACCCGTGGCCACCAACACTAATCAGCCGTCTCTTAGCAACTTAGCGTCGTGTACATGTATTTCAGCCACCATTGGCTAGAATTTCTACCAGTAATGCCGCCATTGGGTAGATTTGAATTACAAAAGGAGAAATCTTCAGTAAGTCATTTATAGTAGAATTTGTGTAATCAACTAGCCGTTGGTCAGTCAATTATTTTGCTAAAGAATTTTCGAGTTCACTTAAGAAGTCAACATTTTATTTTAAGAAGGGGGATTTCACCTCCTTATATGCAAAAAGGTCCGCTGCACAGTAGAATGGACAATGATCCTTCTTTCCCCCTTGGTAGTCGCTTTAGAACTAAAAAAGTATTTTTTCGTATTTGTATTTTGTTCAGCGTAGGAAAATTTAGACATGTCTCGCTTCATAGAGAACATGAACGAAAGTATGTCTGGCGATATCACCGCGTACGTTTCCGATAAAAGTGTGCGGTGCGAGATAAGCGAAAAAAGACCGAATTGTAAAGAGGTTTTCAACAGACGAGGTTAGACCATTTGCGATTCAAGTATAGGTAGCCCCCCCGCCCCACTTTTTTCTATCATGATTCTACAGGGTGGTGTTTTTAAGTGGACCATTAAAAGTATCTCAGGAACGGTTTGGAATTTTAATTCGGGACCCATTACCTTTTTTGAATAATTGATCCAAAAAAATCATTTAAACATATTTTCAAGATGGCCTCTTTTCCGGTTGTGTCAGAACGATATCGGAACTTTTTTATTGCAAATGGCACTGTCTTTTCTTATGCCAATTTTAAATTCCTCATAAAAAATCAGTATGATTTTGTCAATATGATGCTATGTCTAACTGACATGGTTTCGAAGTTTGGTAGCTTGATATTTGACATTTTTTCACAGTTTCAGAGGTTCAGTAAATTAGTCATATCACTGACAACTTAGCAAAATGTTTTTTTCACGAATGGGCAGCTAAAAATCCACGCTATTAAATGTTATTGGTCTGATTTTCAAATGTGATTCGAAAATAATTCGAATAATCGTTCAAAGTTGACAATCGGTTTTTGGTCAAAATCTTGAAATTTTCGAATAGAAACCATATCTTTACTATACATCAATGGAAAGAGCATAAACGAACAAAAAAATGCACGCAAAATTTTTCTAAAGTGGACAGTTTTTTTTAAATATTTTATTTAATAAACCTTCGGTCAGGTCCCATATGACCCATATCATCCAATAAAAAATATTTGGCTTGTATCACTAATTCTGTTCAATATATGTACTACCCATTTTAAAATTTAGGTCATAAACGTGAGTATTGTCGTTTACAATAAGCATACTGCACAAAATTGAGCATAGCATTCTTCACAAGTGAAATGCGCTAACAATTACAGTTTTTACTATTTATATGGAAGTGGTACTTTATTTTATTATCATTTTCACTTACTTGTCTGCTATCATCCCAAATACAAGGTTTCCAATGAAGACTCCCAGCAGCACGAGCGTTTGCGAAACATGAGGTAGTTGTGATTTATTGCAGACCAAATTCCATTGAGACTGTATGGTTTCAGTAAACAGAGACCTAAAATAAATACGTTATTTTCTAGCGGATGTTACACCCATTTAAAAAGAAAACATGTCGATGCCATGGTTTATAATAATTAAAAACCATGCTCAGTACAGAAACCTCGCGTTTTATATAAGTAGAGACTTGCGATTTTAGCAAAAGTTGATATTTTATAATGCAACACCCTATATATCTTTAGTCAATTTGTTGGAATCTTTTTCCTGATTACATTGATGTATCACAAATTATATATTTTTTTGTATACCTAATAATATATTGCGATCATATAGTAGTAGTAGTAGCGAACGTTCCAGAAATTTTCATAGACATCGAGGCGCCATGAAAGGTTAGTCATAGCAAGTAGAACGGCGGCCGTTGTAAACTGTGTAAGTGATAAATAATACTTTTACCATTATAAATTAATCAATTTCAAGACTGTCATAAATTTATTGTAATTAGCTGTAATAAAAAAAGACGTAATCAAATTTACAATATTTTTGAAAATTTTGAAATGACTCTCATCCATTTTTATTGACTGGTATCGGCTGCCTTAGTTACCATGGATACAATAAATAAAACAAAATCTCCATGAATCCATGGCCTACTATTTAAAAACCGTAAAGATAAGGTTTGTATTTTTGGTTTATGGCTCAAATTTAAAAAAAAATACATGTTGTAATATATCAATGTAATCAAGAAAAAGAATGCAAAAAATTTTAACGTTAATATGCAGGTTGTATCAAATTTGCTGAGTACAGAGATCTCGCTTAATAGCATAGATCAGAGAGTTGGTTAAATGGACAAAAATGATCCTGGAGTTATGCCTAAAGATAATCAAGAAACAAAATTTGCTCCATATCTAAAGTTTCTTAAATATGGCAATTTTGGCTTTAAAAAGCGATATTTGGAGAGATATTGAAAAACTAAGTTGAATTTCGGTTTTTTATTAAAGAAATTCGATTGTTCGTGGATATGTCACTCAAAATGTTTTCTTTTAATTTTGCACTTATTTTGATTTTTTGGTAGACATGTTATACTGTGAAATCAGGATTTTTTCTTTTAGATGACCTTATTTCCATCATCTAAAAGCATAGGAAGAGTTTCCTTAAGAAAGTCTTTTTAGTTTTTAAATATCACCCCAATAATGATTTTAAACCCAAAAATCAAGAACGTCAATTATGTTATTTTTCGGCATATTCAGGAAACTTTAGAAAAAGGGTAAATGTTATTTATTGATTTTATTTATGCTTAACTTGAGGATCAACCAACTCTCTATCTATGCTAATAAGCGAGATCTCTGTACTCGACAGAATGTCAGAAACGGTGGTCCATTTGTTTACTACGCCACTGGATTCTCCGTAAGAATATCTAAAATAAGCAGCAGCAGCTTAAGATAACTTCTCAAAAAATCAAACTTTTCGTTTCTCATTGTATCTCAGAAACAAACGAAGCTAGCTTGATTCAGTTTATGTTTAAAAAGTTTCACAAAAATGTCGCGAAAACTCTTTAAGAACACCTGAAATACACTGCCATTTCAATCAAAATATGACACACGGTATATTACGACCACTAAGGCCGTTCGTCCACCTACGCAACGCGACTGCGATTCGAACAATAAAAAAGTTGCTTGCGACAATCGGTAGGCGATAAACGATACATTTTCCGTCCATCAAAGTGACCCAAAAATTACTCTGTGCGTATACGACTACAATTATAAAGCAACTGACATTCCCCGTCGCCATACGACCAGTTGAGCACGAGTTGCGCGATAGTTGCGTTGCCGTCGCCTTGGTGGACGAGAAACTGTATAAAATACAGGGTCAGACGCATTAGCAACTTATTTCCGATTGTAAAGTGATTTTATTAACGGTCGGATCGCAGTTGCGTCGCGTCGGTGGACGAACGGCCTTAGTTCTTTGTGTCACTATCGTCTCTGGTTCGACTTACCTATCAAATACAATATCAGAGCAATTTGGAGAACATGTATCCGTAACATTGTCAATACAAAACGATGCAATCGGTGGAGCTATTATTAAAACGCTTAGCTGATGCCATGCAATAGGAATTTTGCATAACATTAATGCAAAACAAATACAAACTTGCCAGCGCCCCATAGAACCCATTAATTTTTCCACGATATCCACATCATTCCTTTCGTTTTGCACTAAAACCGAGATTGTTTCAATTACATAAATGTTAATTGGGCAGGTAAACGATCTACCATTTACCAAGGTTTCCAGACTATTAATAACGAAAATTGCCACAAAAAAAAGTACTCACCTAACTCATTCAGTTCTAGTTTATTACTCTTTTCGTTGCCCATTTAATCCGCGTTCTGGGTTGGCCTGTAAACATTAATACACTGAAGCATACCTACATAATAAAATCAGGTTTTCGCGTTTGTTCTCATTTCATGCAGATTTGCAAAGGATAAACTAAGCACATTTTTTTGTAAAGCCTTTGTATTTAAAAACCCCGAATACATACCCAACGTAAATGATGTCAAGCTTACGAATACACCAGCATAACAAAAAGCAAGCAAGCACCAGGTTAATTAAAAAAAAAGTACAGCGATACTTAATTAAAATTGCAACCATATTAAGCGATAATTTAACATTTATTCATTATGCGTCTTATTAATTAATTATTAAGTCGTATTTTGCTATGTAGGCTCGTATACGTTTGCTATTCCTGTGAAATTTTGATTATGGCATTGTGCTAATGTAAAGTTATGTGTTTAGCCACAGTGTAAAGAATCTGCACTATGGTTTAGCTCATTAGCTGATGACAGTACTACCGCCTGCATCAATTGTGGCTTACTGTAAATAATTTATTGGGTTTAAAAATGTTATATTTTGCACTTGACACATAAAAATAAGCAGAAATTCTCCAAGTTTATTCCCCAAATTACAAATGTTCGATGTGTGTCTCATTTGCCACACGACACACATTCCAATGGTATTCTCGATCAGACCACACATTGTGTAACATTTTCATGTCTATTGTTAGCAAAGCAGCAACGATGTCTTCTAAGTTCGTCAAGTTCTTGGAAGTGATTGTACATAAGCATAGTCCTTAACATACCCCCAAAAGAAGAAGTCGCTAGGCGTTAGATCGGAGCTGGGGGCATGCGAACAGAGTCTGCACCGATACGCCCAATCCAGCGATGTGGAAGTTCGTCATTTTTAAATAGGCACGAATTATATGATTCCAGTAATGTAAACTTGGAGAGTTTCTGCTTCGTTTTATGTAACCATGATTATTCTAAGTGTAATAAGTCTTGTAACAAATACGAGAACAAATATAACATGTTGAAACCCAATTAATTATTTATAATAACTGTGTATATTCGACCGTTAAAAAGTACCTAGGTAAAGATGTACCAACGTCTTGACCTTATAATCAAATTCTTGAACTATGCGCCATCTGGTAAAAACAAATCCGATACAACTGAATACCAAACGATCCTCGAGACCTTCACACAAACATTATTTTTACAACACACTCTAGGGGTTGATTCTTTCCTACCAGATCAGCATAGCTTGTAAAACAAATTTTTTCATTCGTTTTACTTCTATTCGAGGTGCATACACACAACATTTCAGTTAAATATCTTAAAAAATAAAATTTAGGATTGCGCATGCGCAAAACACATTTTTGGATTCTGCGTTAGTTTAACTTTTATTCGAGGTACCTATATACAGAATTTCATTTAAATATCTTAGCGAATAACAAAAATCGACTGCGCATGCGCAAAACAAATTTTTTTATTTTTAATTTTACTTTATTCGAGGTGTCTGCATACAAAATTTCATTTGAATATCTTAACAAATAAGAAATTGGGATTTCGCAAATACAAAAGTTGGATTGCGCATGCCCAATTTTTTAATTCATCGGCATAGTTAGCTTACGTAGCGTAGCGACCTTTCTTATATCCTGAAGAACAATGTGTATCAATTTTCAAAGCGATGCCACGTTTTAACAAAGTTATCGTGCACACGGACAGAGACGGACAGACAGACAGACAGACAGTACTACAAAATTATAAACGATTTCGAGGATCGCTAATAATCAACGCATTTGTCTTATTTCGCTTTCGTTCCCAAGCCAGGCAACAAGATAACGATATCTGTTTTTTTCAGCATTCTGATAATTGCCATAATCTGCACTCACGCATTGTAACCACTGTATTGGTGTAGGTACTAAGAAAAGAAAAAAAAAATGTTTTTGCTAAAACATTTGTTTTTTCTTATACTACTACTAATTATATTACTATTGCTCACTATTTAACAGCTACCCCAATTCTCAATCATTAAACCTATACCGGTATCACTGAAAATTAAACTACGAACAGTTCACACACACGGGGTCGAGTTTGTTGTTAAATTCGTTTTTTTAAGAGAACCTTATCATTTTAATTGTAGTTACATAATGCTATCTGTACATTTTCTCGATTTCACCAATTTTTTCGGTTAGTGTTAAATTCAAGTAGTTTATGCTTTCCGCCTTCTCGGGTAAATTGTAACTTAATTTCTTTTGCGTAATCAAGGCCCGTCAAAATGGCCCCGTCAAAATAGCCAAATACAAAGCAAAATATCCTGTACGCCCAAAATATCCCAAATAACCAAAATAACCCAACACCAGAAAACCAATGAATAATCACAAAAATAAAATCACCATGATGTTAGGTATATCTCCATCATGCGAAATTCCTCTGATAACAGCCGAATTGTCATAATATTCGGTCAGTGCTTCCAGTCTTCGACTTATCTGCACATACCTCCCCGTTTTGAAAACTCCGGAAGTTGAATAGCAGCGGTTATGCGGTTGTGTACTATTTAAACATGATCCTGTTCTCTCTTAAATTGATCGATCAAGTTTATAAACAGACGGATGGTGACAGTTCAAAGTGCGTTGAAAAGTACGACTCCACCTTTCGACAAAATAATTAGTAGGTGGAAGGCCATTTGCAACTCGCAATTGCGAATCAAGGGTCACCACGTCGATTTCGCAGAAATCATCCTACTATCTAAGTATCTTCCCAGTAGTCCACTATGGGCTCCAAAGTGGTTGGGCAGTGCGCAACTCAGATAAAAACATGTTGGCATGCTGGCGCACATTTTCATTATTTAGATAATCCTCTGTTAAATTGCATTGTTGTACTTCTCTCCACAGAGACTGCTCTAGACGAAATAAGCTTCCAACAATGTCTACACTATTAAACACGCGCGATACTGCGTTTAGGTTAGCTTAGGACTATTTTGGCGAGGACCTCCATCAGCTGAAATAGTAGCTACAATAAGGGTATCTTTGTTGTTTGTACCATCCAATTCAGTAACAACGACAGAAATGATTGACCTTTAAAACAAACACGGAAAATATTGGGATGCTTCATTATACATTTCCTCGACTATAGTAATTTTTAATGAAATGACTTAAACTTGAAGTTCCTACCTAGTACGATCATGAGTAATTACTAAGGAGAAATGGTAATATTTTTCTTAAATTTAAGTGGTTCGATAATTTGTACTGCAAAAACAGCTTATTGGTTCTTCTTGACCCTACACAAATCGTTCTACTCCCTTAATATGAAATTTAATTGGAATTCACTTTGATTTCACCAAATAAAAAGTCCAATAAGACTGGTTGCAAACTCAGAAATTTCTTCCGATGAGAATGCCTATTATTGGCACTTAACCAATGATCGGCCCCTATCTACATTTTGCGCCAAAAATAAGAATTCTGTGGCAGTTCACTGTGTCAAAATTGATTATGCGCAATTTCACTCAACCGAAAAAAGGTAAGAAACTGCAATTTTGTTAAGCAGTACTGTTGTAGAATATGTTAAATAAATCTAATAATTAGTAACATTTGAAGTTGTTAAATGTCAAACTTACTAAAATAATAATGTAGAATTAATTTGTGTTGCTTTCTTCGTCATTATAATGAATAATTTCAGATAAAATCAGGGTGCCAATGAATGGTATTACCACAGATGTAAATACTCCTATTATTAGCACCATACTGTTATTCATAGGAAATCAGCAAAAAAGGTGAACTGCCTATGTTAGCAGTCTACAAACAGTATATTAAGATACAAGTGTAATAATCAAGTCTTTAAAGCACGCGCAACGAGTTTAATGGCACGACGTGAAGCGGAGTGCCTTTAACGTTGCAAGTGCTTTAAAGATCAATTATGCGCGTGTATCTGATAGTATTTTTTATTATACCTGCAGTATAATTTAAAAATAGGAAATACAATGAAATCATATTGACGTTAGGTATACTCGAATACATGTCTAATTAAGTTGGCTGGGTGTTCGTAATTTCACGATTGCCATGGAAATGTCACTTGACGTTTGCTTATAAAAATCATGGTATTTGTGAATAAAACGATTTCTGTTGAAAAAGATAATACACCGTGCATTAAATCGCTTGTTGTAAAATCTAAACAAACGTTGGTAGGTGTAAATTCCAAATCCAGTAAAGCCTATTATAAAGAATATGAAAAGTTGTTTCCATGGATGAATATGAAGTTACTTACGAATAAAGTCTTAAATGCATCGATAATGCTGGCATATATGAAGGAAATGTCAAAGCGATTAGATTTTCTATTTTTTGGTGCCTTCATACAAAACTTCAAACAATGCTGCGATTAAAAAGTGGAACAGATTTGGAAGCATACCCTAAATTACGCGCGTTTGTGAAAGCTTCAACCAAATGCGTAGCTCAGAAGAGCTTACGTTAGTAGCTCTAACTTTGGCTACAAGGGTCCTGGGTTCGAATCCCAGGTAAGGCATGGCTGTTTATGATTGTATAGTGGGTTGAGTGGGAAGAGTAGCAAATTGCTAACACTCCGCCCACTATAAAATAAAGGCAATAAAAAAAAAAAAGCATAGGTACAAGCCAAAGAAATGTTCTACATTTACAGAAAGCGACCTAGGAAGATTTTTTATTTCAGCACCAAATGACAGTTTCAAAAGTCATACTTGAAGTATCATTACTTAGCAACTTTATAGCACGTGTGTTTTAAAAGCCTTTTTTCGCACGCATTTGAGTGTTTAAAACGGAGATTGTGAATCAGGTATAATGAAAAAGCTATTTTTCTACAACTGTCAAAAAAACCTGTCTTTTTCTGACGAATTTCGAAACGCGAAGTACTAGGTTTTTAAACGGTTAATTAATAAGTAAGGTTGCTCTTGCCAACGTGCGCGAAATCGTCAACAGTGAAAAAAAGTATTTTTTCTATTTCGGTGTTACAATGAGAATTTTGTGCAACTGTTTTCGGCAAAAACAGTGTTTCAATGAGTTCCATTGTAACATTGTTTTTGGTAACTTTTCATCTCTAAGTTGGCAGTTCGCCAAGACGTCAACGTCAAATCATCAGATGTGAAATCAAATTACGTACGTAAAATGAATGTGTTTTCCTTGATTTTTAGTACACGAAGAACTTAATACATTCCAAATCAGCAGTTTAGACATCCACCATAAATAAATTTATCTACGAGTAAAAAATTACACATTCACGGAATTTAAAGTTTCCAAATGTCAGTGTTGTGTTTATCTACGCTGCCAACTTAAAATTTGCCAACGTAAATGGTGTTGCCAACTTAAGACATATTAATTCTAAAGTTTCCTGTAGTTTTTCATAATTACTTTTTAATTAAATTAAAGCCCCGAAATAGAAAAAAATAGTATGAAAAACACGTGTTACAATGCTTTATTGTAATACTCCTATCTTGTGGACACTCGTGGCTCCGCTTCGCTACGCCACTCGTGCCACAAGATAGTCGTATTACAATAGGTCGCATTGTAACACTTGTCTTTCAATATACTATTGCGCACGTGACAAAGTTGAACTTAAACAGCAAATTTAATTAATTAAAAATTTAATAGGCCACGAAAAATGTGAAGAATTAGAAAACCTTGATTCTACAACAGACGAAAATTTTCATATTTTGAGAAAAATTTACAACAATTTTATGGGTAAAGACTATAATGACGATGCACATATTTTCTCACAGTCTTTTACGATGATGCTAAGTAACAATGATATGTCATACACCGAGTAAGAAATAGCAGATATGCCAATTGTCTTTGATGACAGCAGTAACATTATAGAGGAAATAAGAATGATAGAAGATAATGTTCTAGATGATAATGAACATATAGTAAATAGATCTCCAAACAAAGAAAATAGTAATACCAAAATTGATAAGTTTCTACCATCCGCCCAAACTCCCGAGCGCAAAGGGAAGAAGGTTAGTAAGCATAAACCCTTCGTAATATCTTCTAGTGGCTTCAAAAAGGTGATAGAAGAAAAGGAACAATGTGAGAAACAAGAAGAACTTAACAAAATAAAAAGAAAACAAGAAAGGATAGAAAAACAAACAAATAAAAAACGAAAAAACGCGGTTTCAGATAAAAACAGAACGCATGAAGACAACAAGGAAAACATAAAACAGAAAAGACAAATAGAATTGCCAAGAAGAAAATTGCAACCTAATAAAGAACAAGAACAGAAAGGAACCTATAGTCAAGAAATAGACCAAAAAAATCTTGTAGCGACATTTGGAGAACAATCAGAAATACACGGCCAATATTAATATTTCAATTCTGGAAATACATTTTTTAAATCTCCTTTCAACAAAGTCATCACAAACGAGTCCGGGGTAGTCAAATCTAATGTCCATGTTAGGAAATTGTTTCAATTTCAATCACCGCTCAAAAGAAGCAACAAATTAGTTTCGCCTTTTAGTGGAAATAACATAGTATTGAAAAAGGGCATATGCTTCATCTGTATTAAAATTATAAATAGTCTTAAAATCGGCATTAATTAAGTGTAAAACATGCACCAGAAGTTACCATGTATCTTGTCTTAAAACAAAACAATTGTATACAGAGTCCTTTAGGTGTGGAACATTGTATTGCAAGGAATGCCTAGGCCCTAGAGAAATGAAATATTTTTTCTAATGATATAAATATGCACGATTGTTAAAAATACGTATTTTCCATTATTACTGTAGTTACCAATTGCCTTTTCTTCTTTTCTTTGACGTGTTACAAGAAATAAATGCCTACATTTAAATAAATATACATTACTTTATTGTTATTTTTGTGTACCTATACCTTAAGGGTTACCTAAACATTTCCACTTTTCAAAATTATAGTCAAAAAAACATCTACCTACCTACTATGTACCTAACAACCTAAGAATACTTATATTTCCTCGGTGCCCATGACAGGAAAAAGGTAAGTGCCAACAAGTGGGGAGTGACAATTTAATCGGCAAAAAGTGAATGCCAACAACTGGCCCAGAGTGCCAATAACTGTAACTTTGCTCATTTTTTTACCTGTTAATAAATATTCATTAAACAACGGTGTATATCTGGATAGTGGTTACAGTTTTTAAAACTCACACCTTTAAGGATTAGAAAAACATACTTCCAATTGAAATATATACAACATGAAGGCTTGATAACCTTTCTCAAATATACAAAACCTCTTAAAGTGCCAATAATTCGGAAGTTTACTATGGATTTCTTCGTAATCTATTTTTTTGTTTATATTCCAATTCCTCAAGCTTACAAATTCCTTCTATGTACTTTGTAACTGTATCTTCTGCGCCACTTTGTTTACTTCCTGATTACTTAAGACCTTGTGGTAAGTCCTGACTTTTTAGATTATCATCACTTTACTCTAGGTGATTGTGTTGAGCGTATAGTACACTTTTCCATTGACGTTGGCTAATCGCCCTCATCCAAACTGTACATTAGGTACATTAAAGTATCGTCGTCTTCGTCATCAGTTATTCTATGACTATTTCGGGTAAAAAACGGTGTTAAGTTTCTTCCATTCCCACGGTCCCATAGTGATATTTCCCAAATTTGACTCCACGATTCGTCAAAGGCGATGAGGAGAACCATATCAACACGAGGACTCAGGGAAGGGGGATCTGAGGGATTAGCCACAGCCGCCCACTTTAGGTGTCGGGCTGTGAAGGTCTGTGGTACTGCTGGAGGTAGGATTAGAGGGAATCGATCAATATTCGTGGTACATATTCTCTGAAAGGAGATGGATTAATAGGTGGCGACACCCGTTCCTAGGAGATATGCAGAATTACAAGAGGACCAATAAGAACAACAACAAATTTATGGCTCAGTGGTAAGAGCATTGGGTTATAAATCCGGAGGTCGGGTGTTCGAACCTGGGTTGAGGTGAATTTTTCATCTGTGGCGGAGATGGAAATTACCTTAGACCAGTTTCGAGCATTCTACCGGCTACTCCGAATTAGGTTTTCCTGCAGTTTTCCTAATTCGTAAGGTAAATACCGGAGTAGTATAGACCATCTTAAGACCTTCTGCGGAGTCACCTCTAAATAGCATTATCCGGGTCACTCTGTAATTGGGCGCATGTCTGTTGAGGACCCAAAACAGGAGAGGGATAATAAAATAAAAATAAAAAAAATAAAAGAAAACTTTGCCTTGGTGCGCATTTCCAAGTTGCGCATCCTGTTTAAATCTATTAGACGTAGCGACTTTTTGCTTACTGTAGAGCAGCGTTTCTCAACCTGTGGGGCGCGCCCCCCTAGGGGGCGTGTAAACATTAATGGGGGGCGCAGCATATCAGAAAAAAAAACACTAACTGCATTAAATAATTTATTAAAACAAAATCCTGACATAATTAAAAATAAAATACACATTAACGCTGATATACTCGTAGTAGGTACTCTTATGAACAGGACTGTATTAATAGGTACTTCATATTAAATTTATCAATACTAAGTTACAAATAAGGTTAACAATATTAAGTGTAAAAAACAATAATTACTAGTGACTCCCTTGGGCCTTTGGGTAATAGTATACAAAACGCTCTGGTTTTACTGCCGAAAACTCATCGCTCACGCCTGCCCAAAATTCAAAAAGAGATTTAGTATCAAACTGTTTTTTGATTTCGGCGTTTGCCGTCAAGTCTATGAAGAGTTCTTCTTCTGCCATTGAGAGCGCTTCGGGAGTAACTTGAAACGGATTCCTAACCCACTCGTAACTAAGTATTAATTTTTCGTCAGCAAGAAAATATTTTTTAAAATTTTTGGTCAGCATCGCTAAATGATTTTCAATGGTAATAAAGACAACTTTCACCTGTTGTTCTTCAACCTCGTCATTTTTAATAAATTCATCTACATTTGCAAACATTTCCAGGTTTTTTTGCTGTAAATGTTTGCTCCACAATTCCAATTTTCTACAAAAAGCATTAATTTTATCACTCGTATCCAATATATGTGTATTTGCTCCTTGGAGCTGAAGGTTCAAGGTATTTAGTTTCTCAAATATGTCGACCAAGTAGCTCAATTTCATTAGAAATAAGCCATCTCGAAACTTCTCGGCTTCCGGTCGGTTTTCTTCTTCTAGAAAAATGGCGATTTCATGTCTTAATTCAAAAACACGTTGCAAACATTTCCCACGTGATAACCATCTTGCCTCGCAATAGAATAGTAATGCTGAATGTACTGCACCCATATCTTAAGAAAGTGCAGAAAAGATTCTAGTTTTCAAAGGTCTCATTTTTATGTAATTAACTACTGTTACAACCGTAGTGAGCACAAAATTCAGGCCAGGAGACATTTCTTTGGATGCCAGAGCTTCTCGGTGGATCATGCAATGTGTCCAGATGCACAGTGGAGATCTTTGTTTTACAAGGGCTTATATACTTTCAAATCTTCCGGACATTGAACGAGCTCCATCGGTGCATACTCCGACGCAATTCTTCCACTCCATGTTTGCCTCGATTATATAATCATTTAAGACAGCAAACAATGCGAGAGCTGTTGCTTTGAGCTCTATGGGTTTGCAGAACAGTAGTTCTTCAACTACAGATATGCCATCACTAAATCGAACGTAGGCAATAAGATGAGCATCTTTATTGCTATCTGTTGCCTCATCAAGCTGAATTGAAAATAACTTGTCTCGCAACTTCCCACGTAGCTGATGCTGTACATCTTCAGCCATATCACCAATTCTACGTGCAACCGTATCATTTGATAGAGGTATAGACTCCAATTTTTTGGCAAAAGTATCTCCAAACATAGTTTCTACAATTTCAATTGCAGCTGGCAAAATAAGTTCTTCGCCAATAGTGTGAGGTTTCTTACATCTGGCTATTTGATACGAAACTTTATAAGAGGCAAGTAAGGCTTTTTCATTTACAGTCAAAGTTTTTTTAAAAAATGCCTTTTCGTTTCCATAGGTTTTTAATTTTAACTCGAAGAATTCACGGGGTTTGTTAACGTACTCACTATGAAGCGTTTCCAAATGTCTTTTAAGTTTATTTGGTTTCATGCTATCAGCTGCTAAAGTTTTGCGGCAAATGACACACAATGGCCTCTCTTCTTCATTGACTTCAGTACAAGTAAACCCAAATTTTAAGTATTCTTGAGAATATTTCCTTGATTTTATTTTTGGAACCCCTCTCGCCGGTGCACTTGTTGATGCTTCACTAGTATCGAATGTTCGCTTACGTCCAGTTAAAAATTTATCCATGATTTTGTATGAATTTAAATTTACTGTTGGCGATATATATTTTAAAAGGGTGAACTGCAATTAACACGCAAATTACAACAAACGCATTCACAATAAATTTAGCACAGACCGAACCACTAACTCGACTGAGACTGACCAAAATTGAAGAGTGTATACACTTGCGCATAGACGGTCGAGAATGTTCGGTATTCTGAACCCGAAACTCAAGGTGCATTATTTTACACCATATATGTACTGATATATGTTTTACACACACACACACACCCTCACACCCTTTGCTATTGTGTAAGGGGGGCGCGGTAATAATTAGTTTTGATAATTGGGTCGCGAATGGTGAAAGGTTGAGAAACGCTGCTGTAGAGTTTAGGGCACAGTGTTAGATATATGGTTAGGTGTTTGCAAGATTACAGTTTACCCTACTTTTTCATTGTCGGCATCACCTTTTTTAAAGATAGGAATATGTTCGTTATTGATATCGTAAGGTTTTCAAGCTTCAAGGTTTCGTTGTATACCTAAGCACGTGTTTCTATAATTGGTAGGTATTCCTATGGTTGGTTTGGTGGATGTCATGCAGTGGAATTCACGTGCTGTCATTAGTTGTCCATAATGATGGCTATTATACGCATTTAGATTATTAGGCGTAGCGTTAGTATTACGAGCAACTGCTTTATTAATAACATCAAAATGTCTGAACGCCCGACCGGCCGTCCGTCCGTTCATTCACCCGTCCGGTCGTTTGCACGATGACCCAAAAACGAATTGACGCTCAAATTTTCTACACAAATAGATTGTTGTAACTAAGCAATTAAATCGAAATAATTACGCAGGCAATTTGCCTAATCTAAAGAAAGGGTACGTTCCAAGGATGCTACGGGTATAGGCATTGAGTAATTAAATCTTCACTCAACGGTATAGGTACATACGTACATTCTTATTTAAGAAAAGGAAGAGGTACTTACGATTAATAATCACAGGTTACCTATACACTACGCAAAACAAAAACTAATGCAGGGAATGCAGGTACTTGAAAAGCAAATGGAAATTAATTACAGTTGAGAAATTAACGTTTGTTTGTTGATAATAAAATTTGTTATAGGTGTAATTATAAATGGGAAGATGACGCACTCTTGATACAGCTGTAGAATATCAAACGTAAACGACGCGACGCAAGTAGATAGATAGATAGATAGATAGATATAAATTTATTAAGAGAAGCCATAAGGCCATTAGTATCCCCCCTCTACAAACTTGGTCGCATCAGATATAACAAAACAAGTTAACAATATTATGAAATACAAAGTAAATATAACAAAAAAAAAAGTAAAAAGTAAGTAAAACAGTATAACAAGAAAAACGAAAACATAATAGCTCTCTACGTATAAATTTACACATTAAACATCAAAAAAATTATCAAAGTCCTCGTTTGAGATCGAAGGGACTTCAGCGCATTTTTGTGTGGCAGATCAGTATTCTATTAGCCACTTTCGATTCAGCCATCAATAACAGATCTTGTCGAAGGCTACTACATTCACTAACCGCTTCCCACTTTCCTCGTGCACCCGCAATTCGCTTTTAAAGATTTGACTCCACCATCAAGAAGATCGTGTTCACCCGCAATTCACCCGCAATTCGTTTGAAGATTTGACTCCACCATCAGTGAGATCGTGTCGCGGGCTACCACATTCCCTTTTACGGTACCCCCTTCCGACGTCCCGTTCACCCGCAATTCGCGTTTGAAGATTTGACTCCACCATCAGTGAGATCGTGTCGGGGGCTACCACATTCCCTTTGACGGTACCTCCTTCCGACGTCCCGTTCACCAGCAATTCGCGTTTGAAGATTTGACTCCACCATCAGGAAGATCGTGTCGGGGGCTACCACATTCCCTTTGACGGTACCCACTTCCGACGTTCCGTTCACCCGCAATTCGCGTTTGAAGATTTGACTCCACCATCAGGAAGATCGTGTCGGGGGCTACCACATTTCCTTTGACGGTACCCACTTCCGACGTCCGTTCACTCGCAATTCACTTCTATTGGCGACACGAGAAAGAGAGACAGCGATTCGAGATTTACGAATAGTTAAACCGCGTGAGTTCGCAACGGAAGGTAAAAGGCGCCCGAAGTTGACTACTTCTCGAAGACGCGCGCGCGCCTCGCAAAAGGTCGTTAATTTCGCCCCTATGACAAAAACAAAATTCCGCCACGCAGGAGTTGTGCGCGTTTACAACATCTTTCCGACGACACCAATTTGAAAAGAATCGGACCAAAACTGTAGTAGAAGATAGGAAAAAAACTGAAAAACCTTCACGTTAGTATACTACGCTCGAGGATGACGCCCAGATGTCGCCAACCCCACATCATGTAGCCATGTCCCTAAGGTTGACAAATTTCACGGCCCTGTAGATACACGTACACCCGTTGCCTTTCTACAAGAGTTCTTCTACGCGCCCACATTTGCTGCCAGCTAGCCAGCCAGCCAGCCAGCCAGCCAGCCAGCCAGCCAGCCAGCCAAAGTGAGAGATTAAAAGCTACTTTTTACAAAAAAAATTTTTTGCAAAAATGCGCTAAAAACATGTTCAGAGTCCTGCAACAAACAAAAACACTTGCGATCGAAACCATTACAGGACCTAGTGTGTCTAACATCTTCTGGCAGCTTGTTCCACAATTTAGCCGCTTGTATATAAAAGGACGATGCTCCAATGCTTGTCTGAGCCTTAGGAATATAAATATTTGAAGTCCTAGTACCGTAACAATGGAAACTACTGAGTGCCCGAAAGTTTGTGTAGAGATAAAGCGGTATTCGATTAAGAATGGTTTTATGCAAAAGTCTTAGCATGTAGTATATTCGATTAGTTCTCATATTTGGCATATTATGATGTTTAAGTATAGGTTGTATATGATCACTACGTTTAAGATTACACGCAAAACGTAAACAGTGATTTTTTTGTATTTTATAAGACAATTGTTTTTTGAGTCCCTGATAACACACATCACCATATGTTAAATGAGGTAGTATTAATTGTTTTACCAGCTTTAGTTTAATGTGTGTACACAAAAGATTTTTAGCCTTATATAAGGTTCTCAGTTGATGTGATGATTTTGAGCAGATAAGTTTAATGTGAGGTTCCCAGGTTAAAGTTCGATCCAGAGTTAAACCAAGGACTCGCGCAGAGGTTGCAAATTCTACACAGACACCATTTATTTTCACAGCTTGTGTTTGTTCTTGAAAAAATCTTTGTATGCCTTTTTTGGTACCGACTGGGATGATTACAGTTTTAGCAGGGTTCAGTTTAAGATTATTTAGTGTTGCCCACTCATAAATAACCATTAAGTCACAGTTTAGTTGATTAATATGCTCATTGGGCGCGTTCATAAGACACAACTGTTCTGGAACAGTTACCGATACGTCTTATAATTACGTCGCTACTTTTACGCTCTTTACGGAGCAGTCGGCCATTTTCAGTAGCGCTACATACGTCAAAGTAGGGAACGTGACATAAGACCCCCAACTGTTACCGATACGCTACGAGGTAACTGTTGTGTCTTATGAACGAGCCCATTGAGACCCTTTAATGGTACATTTTTCAAAACTTGTATATCGTCTGCATACTGATGTATGTCACTGTATTTAATGTATCGGTGAAGATCAGAAACATATATGTATTGAATATCAAGGGACGTAAAATGCTACCCTGCGGGACACCACATTTAATGCTTAGGGAGTCAGAAATCAAAATATTACCATCAGTCACTATTTTCGTTCGTTGGTTTCTATCACAAAGGTAGTCTTTAAACCAGTTTGAAGCCCGCCTGGAGAATCCTAGAGATGTTAGTTTCGTAATTAAAGTAGAGTGATTAACAGTGTCGAAGGCTTTAGAGAAATCTAACAAACACAACAATGTAACTTCACCACGATCGATGTTGCGCGTCAATCTGTCAGTGATGACAGGAGTCATTGGGCTCGTTCATAAGACACAACAGTTACCTCGTAGCGTATCGGTAACAGTTGGGGGTCTTATGTCACGTTCCCTACTTTGACGTATGTAGCGCTACTGAAAATGGCCGACTGCTCCGTAAAGAGCGTAAAAGTAGCGACGTAATTATAAGACGTATCGGCAACTGTTCCAGAACAGTTGTGTCTTATGAACGCGCCCATTATAGACGTTTAGCAATGTGACAGGTGCGGCAGGTAAAGTGACAAGTGTGGCCGGTAAAGTGACAAGTGCGGCCGGTAAAGTGACAGGCGGCAGGAAAAGTAGACTGGTCTGCCTCCGTCATGGAAACTAACACTTTCCTGACATAAAGTAGGCATGAAAATGAAGGTTTCATGACGATTTTGGGTAAAAATTTATAAAACGTTATTTTGTTACATATATGTTGTTATTTATTAACGAGCGACAAAAGCGAGTTTATGATTTTGGACTTTCTGCCCGTCCGTCCGTCCGTCCGTCCTTCTGTGGACACGATAACTCATTAACGGTTTCGAATTTTCCAATTTTAGCAATAGGTAGACAATGGTCAAGGGGCTAATTGATTAAATTTTGGTAAAGTAACAAGTGCGACCAGTAAAGTGACAGGTGCGGCCGGTAAAGTGACAGGCAGCAGGAAAAGTAGACTGGTCTGCCTCCGTCATGAAAACTAACACTTTTCTGCCATGAAGTAGGCATGAAAATGAAGGTTTCATGACGATTTTGGGTACACTATTTTGAAAACCTTCGGTGAAGGCGTAGCTGACGACATAAGGAGCACACAAACATTTGTGAGTTCCGCTAATTGCGGTAAATTATCAGAAAAACAACGGAACCACCGCTTACAAAACGTGCCGCGGGATAAAAAGTGACAGTACACACTGAAATGTCAAACACAATTTAATGACTAATGGTTACTTTTATATGTACTATGCAATCAAAAATGAGTTGCTGTCGAGTCACCTTTGGAAATTTTGTTTACAGTCAAGCCAAGCAAACAAGTCCGTCAAGAAGGCGATGGTTTGGTGTCGCTGTATTTTAGAAGTACAGTCTGTGGCAGTAGTGTTTGGCGGTAAATTTAAACTTGTTATATTTTGCATTTTTTTATAGGGCTACGTTTGGAAACTGGAGAAAGAAATTTAGTACCCACAAGCATTACAAACCAAAATAACAAAATATAGTCATTGACCTAGCAGTGTGTATTTAATCCTCTTCAATGATTTCAGAATCTTCGTCTGATGTACCAGTGTTTACGTGAAATATAAATTTTCTACAGCTTCATCTAACAATCCTTGGCGTTGCCACATTTCTTCTTCCAATCTCTTAACGTGGTTTATGTCGTTTCCCGACTTGCTTTTCAATTTGATGATGCGATGTGCATTTTCAATTCATTCCAATTCATTTCCTCCTGCTTCAGTCAGTTTTATATACACCAGTTTCATCTTCTGCTAGCAAGCACTCCACATAATGAATGGATGTAAGTTTCGTCTAAAAATGTGATCGGTTTCTAGTTTTTCCCTAAAGCATCGTTTTCTTTCATTCTTCGTTCCATTAATAATTTTCGCTTATTGTTACATTTTTGTATTTACAGCCGCTTCTCGTTTTCTCCATCTTATTAACTAAATGATTGATCTTCAGGACTATTTTATGGGTCATGTAAATTTCATTCTTCAAGACACCTAAATCAGAATTATCCAATGTTATTTTGTAGGAAGTCGCACTTCGTCGCTTCTTTGAATAAAATTTCCATGTCCTATCATCGGCAAGTTTAACTTCGATCTATAGGATAACCAAGATATATATCTTGAGGATAACAATAAGTATCTATTTATTTCCACAGTCCGTTGATTTGCAAAAATGATCGGGCCAATTATTGGAAAAGATTGTTTTAGTGTTAAACTATGTATAAAAAAATTGGGAACGCTCTTGTAGTCTCCCAGTTTTAAAGACAAAGCATCCGTTTTTTTACTTGTTTATTTAGTTAATCAATTACTATGAAACCTACGGTGATCGAGTTTGTCATACTGTTTTGTTATCAAACGAAGTTACTAAATACGGATTTTCAAAAAGATCGGATGAATTTTACTTGTTAATAACAAACTGTTAATTTTAGAGATTAATTTTTTACATTTTGCCATAAAAAACAATATCAATTGAAAATGAGCGTTCCGGACCAACTGTATCTTATAGAAAATTTTATTCTAAACAAGTTCATCTCTATTGATTCTTTCTCTCAGCGCAATAGTTAACGAGATATTCGAAGTCAAATGCGAAAAAACACGAGATTTTCTCATTTCTTATTCTTTTTTTGTTATAACAATATGTTCCGGCGGTTTCCGGCCAGGGGGACTATGCTTTTCGGATTCAATGGATTTTTTTACATCGGATACGCTTGGTCTCGTTGAGTGAAATGACAACATCCAGCCCAAACCGTAATTTGACTGGACTAAATAGGAAGTATTTTCTAATATTCCTATTAAACGCCGGAAACTGTTCATGCCTACAACATGATGAATTCGATACTGTGTGTAAGGGGGTCTACGAACTGATCCCCCCCCCCCCATTACTCTAAGCAACCACCCTCACTCAAATCGTAGGCGTAATAGCTATTTGTATAACAAGGGAGGAAAGTTACAGATTCCCTTTATTATTTTATATTATATATATTTATAGAAAATATGTTTCATGACGCTATATGTTAAAACTGAACATGCAAGATTCTTTGTGAATTATGTAAAGGGGAAGTGCACCATCCAAAAACGGTGATGCGGAATGTCCTCCACAAATAAGGTTTCTGGAGAACATCAATTGAATTCTACAAACATTGAAAGTACAGGTTTCAATGTCAATCAATCCTCCTCGCCAAAATGGTGTATTTGTGTTCGATTGGTGATTTGTCTTTGTCGACCGCTGACTCAGAGGTAAAAAGACATTCATTGAAAAAAGTCTATGGATGAAAATTGAAAATATTAGGACGGTTAGAATAGTAGGTACAGTAAGTAATTGGGCGTATGCCTGTTGAGGGCCCAAAACAAGAGAGGGATAATAAAATAAAAAATAAAAATAAAAAAAATCTATTTATAAATAATTATCAATATCCTCTATGGAAGAGACTTCAGCCCGTTTTTGTATGGCAGATCAATATTCTATTAGCAAACTTTAACTCCATCATCAGTAAGATCTCCTTTGTCGATGCTCACTTCCTACGTCCCGTTCAACCGCAATTCGCATTTTGGTGGATTGCGCTAAAAAATCCTCCACAAAATAGTACTCAATTTTAGGGGCACTTCTAGCTCTAGCTTCTATTGGCGACACGAGAAAGAGAGACCGCGATTTGGGCTTTAGGAAATTTTAAACCGCGTGACAAAATTCACAAGGGAAGGCAACTTTTGGGCGGTCGAAGTCGACTACCCCTCGAAGGTGGTTTATTTCGCCTCTACGAAAAAAAACAAAATTCCCCCACGCAGAAATTGGGCGCGTTTACAAAATCTTTCCGATGACACCAATTTGAAAACAATCGGACCCAAACTATAGACGAAGATAGGACAAACTAAAAATCACCACGTTAGTATAACTAAGACTAATTCGGGGATGGCGCCCAGATGTCGCCGACCCCAGATCATGTACTTCCGTCCATAAAGTTGTTAATTACACGGATTCGGTAGGTACATGTAGTATGTACACTCTCGTATTTCCACAAGCGTTCTTCTACGGATCCGCATTTGCTGCCAGCCAGCTGGCCAATGTGAGATTAAAAGCTACCTTTTTACAAATAAATTTACAAAAATGTGATAGAAAGGAGAGTTTGGATAATATTGACTCTTCACAGGAAGACTAACTGCAAGTACGAACTAAACGGAGAATGAGGTGCCACAAAAGTCGAGACGCCCACGATTGGGATTTGGTTGCTTAAAGTTACGGGGGTCACTTCGAAGGCCCCCTTGCAGGCAGTATTGAATTCATCATGTTGTGGGCATTCTAAGTGAACAGTTTCCGGCGTTTTACAGAAATATTAGAAAATAGTATTTCGATTACTTCAAAGATTTGCGGAAAATTTTCTCTGCGCCACTCAACATCTAAAAAATTTTCTTCTCTGCAATTTTCCTCTCTTGACATTTTTTCTTAAAATGCTTCGTTTTAGAGTTATTACGAAAAATTTCAAAAAAGGTAGATTTTATCCCACTTAGGGGGTGGTTTTGGGGTGACGGGCTCAACGCCTTGACGCTGGGGTTTCAGAGGATATTTAAACCCTTAAAACAAAGTACCCTGTCTCTAATTTGTTGAACGTTGGCCATATAAAACGATGGATGGTCCCTGTGCTATTGGTAACTGTCTGAAATACAATAACATATTAGAAGCTTTCTATACTGCTTTATATTGCCTCCACAGATCATTCGATTACCTTCCTATGGTGCTTAGGTTCGCTCCAGTTTTTTTTCTGAGTTCTTTCGCTTCTTTTAGCGCATTTTGTCCCCAGAAATGTACAGAGAATGTCTAACCACTTTGAAAAGATATTAAAAAGCTCGAGAAAGAATTAACAGCATGCACCCTCAGAAACACTGTTAGATATTGATGATGATTTTCAAAGTCTCTTAAGTGTTTCCCCCAAAACATGCAATTGGAGAGCTTCTAAATCTTTCTAGGTCACTCCTAAATCTCCTCTTTATTCCATTTTAGGTTCTTTTAGAAGTCGAGCCTCCTCTAGTTCAAAATGTATCTAAGAATTGTTAAGAAAACTACAAAATACCTGATTTTTCAGTAAAAATATTTAATACTGTACAAATGTAAAACTATGCAATAATAAGATCAAGTACAATCACACATAATAATGACTGAAATGTTTTATATCTAACTTATAAAACATTAACGGCTACCTTCCTGACTGTGTGTTAATTTGGTAAGTATTCTGAGCATCGATACCGATGGTCCCTCAAAGCTTATCGATACTGCAAAAGCAAGCACAAATGACGCGACAACTTGCCCCAGGAACAAGACAGGCATTACTCCTTTGCCCAAATGCAAGGGTTGATCCATACTCATAACCATTACCCGGAGAGCAATTGGATGCAGTAGATAAGCGCAGTATGTAAGTCTGCTGAACGGGTACAAGACACTTGCGGAGAGTAGTTTATTTACATATCCTAAAACATAGCGTAATTGATTTAATTAGATCGCAAATTTCTTACCCCCGTATCCTGTAGTGCAAGCCACCACAATCCATGCCAATCCCAATGCCCAAACTGAGTGACTCAAGGCACTGTATGCGGCACCAGCCAGTGGAGACAAATTTATCTCGTGTAATCCGTAGACTAATGCCAGAAGTATAATTGATGAAAGGAACCATCCAATAATAACCGTAAGCTAAAATAAACTCTTACATACAGAAAGCAACTTGATTTAATTACCTTATTCATTCTTAGTTCACACTTGGTTTTAAAAAGCAACCAACCTACGCACATTCCTATTAAGTAAGGCCCTAATCGTGTCCACGGTTTATCGTAGATCTTATCAAAAAGAGCTAAAGGGTCATCGGCTCCTGGCAGGTGACTGTTGCTAAACGCGATGAAGCCCGTAGTCATCCACGAACTTAAAACGAAGAGTAGCAGAAGAGCAGCTGCGCTTTTGAAGTGGCTACAAATTTGCTTATTATCCTCAATGCTTTAAATTTTAATTTAATAAACGCTACCTTACGGCTAGGATAAGAAGAACGGCACCTACAATATAGAATTGAGTGTCATCGGATAGGTACCAACTCCATAGCATGCACTAAAAAATTTACTACAGTACGTTGTTAGGCAATTAACATTAACTACCATCTCGTTAACAGGAAACAAGGTATTTATATACAACAAGTTCCGCCACCAATAATTGGGACAGTTAACGTGATCCAGTGTGGGTGGTTCAAACACCGAGTTATAATAAAACCATTTCATTGTTACCTCCAAAACTCCAATTACAAACAAATACGGAGCAGTCAATCTGAAAGTGCGCGAATTACTTCGGCAGAACTTGATCGGATAGCTAACCTCGCAAATCTGTAGATAATAAGGCCGAAGAAGTGAAGGAAACCTGACCAAAACCCACTAATTTTGTTAGTGATAGGATGATCCAGTTTCCCTTTGGCATTTGCTCTAAAATAAAGGAAGGACACCAGCAGCCCGCTTGTAAAGAAAAATGTGTCTACGCTAAACGTAGCGTTCAGTATCGTTTGGAACATGAATTCCTTATGAACAACCTTACGATATTCCATGTTATCTGCAAACAAGCATGTGTAGACAATACACTTGGTTAAAGGACTTACCTGAATACTTAAAAGCCACCAAGCACGTATGCCCAAGAATAACCCATGCTATACTTATCGATTTCAACCCGTGTATAACTGACAAAGTATCACTTCCGACACTTTGGTTAAATATGTTATTGACGTTAACTCTTATTGAAAAGGCAAGAACCAGTCTACGCAATAGACACACTGAAATAAAGACGATACATACCGTCTTATCCTAATAACGATGTACTTACGGATGAATTGCTTATTTAATTTTATTTCGCGATATTTGTTTCCTGCGTCACTTGGGGTTTCGGTACCTGATGAAGCTTGGTCTCGACCGTTATTGTTGTCGTCACCTTTTCCAGAGACCATATAAAATCCCGAGGTTCCTATTGACGAATAATTAGTGTTATATAGCACAACAAAGAACCATCATAACTGTGCAAATGGTTCCAAATATTTCTCTGTGCCCCATAGACCATCGCGGATAGATACTGTCACTGTTACTAGTTTGATTTTTAATTCTTATTGGATCACAGTAAGGATGTAAGAATTGAATGGCGGTGTTGTTCGACTGGGGTGAAGTAATAAAACGGGAGGCCGAGAAGGCGAAGCTTTGAGGAGACCCACAGCCTTTTAGAAGAAAAGTTAACTCGAAGAAGTATTGCAAAACCAATAAGATAAGAACAAAAAACACGATACAGATATTGGCAAATTGAAAAACAAATGGGAAGAATCAAGAAAAGTTACTATGAGCAGCACTTCCCCACCAATAATCTGCAAGGGTGGGAATATGCTTCACCGGAAGCCAACAAAATTTGGCGAATTGTAGATTTAACCAGTTGAAGAAAATTTAAGATGAATAAGCAAAAGAAATCATCAAGAGTCAAGCGATCAGTTTAAAGAAGTTGGAGGGGGTAGGGGAGCAAGCCCAAGAAGTTAATTTTGTAAGAAGAGAGAAAGAAGAAAGGTTAATCATAGCTCAATAAGATCTTTTAAGAACACAAAAATTCAATTTAAAACTCAAGGAGAAACAAGAAAAGAGAATAGCCAATTTGGAACAAGAGTATTTGATGAAAGAAATGGAAGCACATGAACAAGAAGTTAGAACGACACGTTACAAGAAGAAAAAAGAGGTTGCATTAGCACAATTATTAGGTGAAGAAGAATTCGACGCAGACGAAAAAGAAGTTTGGGAAATAGAAAAATTACTAAAACCAAATGAAGAAATTAGTAAGAAAGTTAGCAGTACTGAAGTAGTGAAGACTTATACTACCGGATTTTTGAAGCAGAGAATAATTAGAAAGAAGAAAAATCGATAAGAAGAATAAAAATCAGTTATGAAAATAAAGAAGTGAAGAGAATTTTTAAGGGATTCAAGAAAGAAGAAATATTTGAAGACCTAGACCTTAAAGAAAATATAACAGTGTCAAATGAATATTGAAGTGAAAACGTTGCAGTAAAGAGTGTAAGTAGGTTGCTTCCTGTAGGTATATAGTTTCTGTTATATACAGAGTGGCCCAACGAGAAGTATACAGAGGTTTAGGGTATTAAATTTAGAAATTTCGAAAAATCTTCGAACACGTCAATTTTGTATTCGAGGGGGACAACTTTTGGAATACAAATCACGAACCCAAGTCTTCACCCCTCTACGTAGGGAGCTTAACCCCTAAAATTTTAAATGGAATCCTATGGCAAATGGCACATTATTTGAAAGTCAATTTAATCGTGAATACTAATCTGCTTTGCTTTTTAAATTCTATTGATTCGTTTCGGAGATATTTGCATTTGAAATGGTTTTTTCTAAAAAAAAACAAAACAAATGCGATCAAGTCACCTTGTATTAAAAAATGTTTAAATTGTGCAAAAAATATCTAATAACTTTAAACAGACAACATTTATTTCAATAAATGCTCGAATTGCCTTCCGCCTGCTTCCATGCAATAATAAAGATTTGCTTCAAAACGCTGCCGTACATGTTGCAAGATTTCAGGGGTAATCGCTCGAAATTGTTGAGTTATACCATAGTGTATTCTATTCTTTCACTATGGGTATACGTGCTCACAATCCTTGTAATGTTCCGGGCGGAGTAGCATAAACTTTATTCTTTAAATATCCCCACAAGAAGTAATCTAAAGGACTTAAATCAGGGGAAAATAACCATTTCAAATGCGAATATCTCCGAAACGAATCAATAGAATTTAAAAAGCAAAGCAGATTAGTAATCACGATTAAATTGGCTTTCAAATAATGTGCAATTTGCCATAGGATTCCATTTAAAATTTCAGGGGTTAAGCTCCCTACGTAGAAGGGTGAAGACTTGGGTTCGTGATTTGTATTCCAAAAGATGTCCCCCTCGAATACAAAATTGACGTGTTCGAGGATTTTTCGAAATTTATAAATTTAATACCCTAAAAGCCCTCTGTATACTTCTCGTTGGGCCACTCTGTATATAGTGTAGTGAAGTTAGGTTTCGTCTAGTTATGTAAAGTTAAGTATAGTTATATATGTATAGTAGTTTTATATACATATAGAAATTAAGTGCAGTGCAGACAAGTTGAATGGTGTTTACGAGAAATTATTATCAAGTTAAATGAAGGAAATGAATTTTTTTAAAGAATATTAACAAAGACAAAAAGTAAAATGAAGTGAAGTGCACATAATTTGTTTTTATTATTCTTTTTGAATAAGTTTAGGGTTTTTACGTTGGATAGGATAGTTTTTATAACAGTTTTTTGACATTGAATTTTACGATTTTAAAATTTGTTGTTTTGTTATTTGACTTTGCTATTTTTAGGTAAGAGGTTTTTTGAGTAGGTTTAAGAGTTTCATTTCTTTTAAGAGTTTTGAGAATTTTTGATGTTTTGAAATTTTTTATGGAAAGCTCTCGTTCCTTTTGTTGTTGTATTTCAAATCTTATCAGGTTTTCATCGTTTAAAAAACAGAAGGGGATACTGTAACGGTAGCGGCCAGTTTGAATTTAAATTTGTTTCATTTTGCTATTATGCTCTTGAACTCTCCTTCAGCTGGAGCCCTTTGTTACAACTCCTACACGCGTGGCCCCTTATTGTGCCTAAAAAAACGCTTTTGAAATGTTTGCAAAATCTTTGAAAATATCTGAGAAAAACTGAAAAAGTCAAAGTTCGTTTTCATTTTCCTTAGATTAAACGGTCGGAAATGGACGGATCTGAATCAGTTATCAAAATTTCTATAGTACGCTAGATGTAGATGCTACAGACTACTACTCTCTTAGTTCTTAAGGGGGTAACATTTGATTTTTACAGAATGAGATAGAGGACAAAAAAAATCATTCTAAAACATCGCCATCATAGTGATGTTGATACAGCAAGATCTAGTTACCCGTGGATTTTTTATCAAGAAATGAATGTAAATTCTTGATTTTAAAATTTTTCTTGTAAATTTACACACTTAACGTCATTATCTCATTCTTTAAAATCCAATATGGCGTCCATATGAAAGTAGGTAGCCTGTGACTTCTACATTTAGTGTGCTATGGAAATTCTGATAACAGATTGAGATTCTCCGAAAAAAGTACCCATAGGAGGTGCGAACGGAAACCGTCCATTTTCGACCGTTTTAGTTAGGAAAAATGAAAACAAAATTTGACATTCTTTGGTGATATTATTTTCAAAAATTTTACAAAAATTTCAAAAGCGTTTTTTTAGTCTCAACAAGAAGACACTTTGCCTCCATTGAACCTGCATTATATCTCTCACTGCTGCAGAGATCCCAATGGTGAGTCGCGAATTTGAACCACCCTGTATACAGGCGCGCACTAGCAGAAAGCGCACTGCTCGGCAAATTCAAATATACCCAATGGCTATGTTACTGGTAGAAATTCTAGACAAAGGTAGCTGTGAAACATGTATACGACGCTAAGTTGCTAAGAGACGACTGCACGTTATAACGATGGAAGTTTTGCAGAAATTTTTTCTTCTAGACTGTGGATGTCTATATTATCACGGTAACGAAAAAGAAAGTCATTTTTGATTTCCGAAGCGACCATAAACGGTTTTCTTAGATAAGGAATTCATTCGCGTTTTGGTCATTGGGGAGACCAGTTAAGGTCCATTAAAAAATTCAAACCAATTTTAACTAGGAACTTTAATTTCCGACAGTCACGGAAGTTCAAAGTTTGTGGAAGAGATTGGTTTTCCTTTTTAGTGAAAGTGAAAGGGTTTACAATATTAATTTAGGCGTTTTAAAAAAAGTAAATAATGGTAGTGTTGATATTTTTTCATTAAGTATTTTAAAAAATTTTAAAGTAAATAATGTAAAGGAAAAGTGATCACGATTTCCGATTTAAAAAAAGGTTCATTCATTTATTTCATGGTGTATCATTATTTATTGCTAATAGTATGCAGATGCTATTTAGGTTAGGAGTTAGCGTTAGAGTGAGCTAGAGGGGAAAATTGCCACGAACCAAGAAAGAAATTTCATTGTTGAGCTAGCCAGGAGTACTTCTTTGTTGCTTTTAATATATTTAAGTTTAGTACATGTTTCGGCTCAGCCGATCAGGTGTAGGTCGATTTCATTCCGCCATTATGTTCCAATATGGGGTAATTGACTTGACCGAGATATTTATGAGTTACACCAACCTTTAAAGTTTGTCGAAATCGATTCATAATTACGAAAGTTAATTACGAGTGTTTCTTGGAAGTGATATATTACAATAGGTACATAGATGAAATCTACCTAAAATTAGATCATGCTGTGAGAACTCCAAATGTAATCATTTGCAGTTCTCACAGCATTTCTTTTTCTAAAATTTTAAAAGAAACCTAACATCAAAAACCCAAGCATCTTTAATATAAAATTCAAATCAATTGACCCCAAAACTCTAGAAGTAGTAATGGAAGCCTAGCAGGAACCACGGTCCCCGACGAACTTCTCCGATCAATATGGACCAGCCGACTCCCGCAAACAACCCAAGCGATTCTAGCGGTCCGGAACAAGGCACCGTTAAGCGAAGCTGCAGACCTCGCCGACATAGTAACGGCAACAGCCGCACACGAAGTCCACGCAGTACAAACTACAACATTAGAAGACACAGTTAAGAACCTGTCTGCACAAATCGCCGAGTTAAAGACAGAAGTGCGAAACCGACCAACCGAACGCCAGCAGCAGAGGTTCCGAGGACGAAGTCGCAGCAAGTCTTCCAGCAAGCAGTACGATACCTGTTGGTACCATTTTAAGTTCGGCACAGCGGCAAAGAACTGCAGACCACCTTGCAAGCAGGCCCAGGGAAACGACAAGCCCAGTCGTTAGAGGCGGTTAACGACTTGGACAACAAGCCCCGCCGCCTATTCATAACCGACCCAAACACTCACGAGAAATTCCTGATAGATACCGGAGCCGAAGTGTGTACCTTTCCCGTTAGAAAGGTCCCCAAGAGACAAGCCTCGTTATACAAACTGTACGCAGCAAACGACACGCCAATCAATACGTACGGCACAGTCAACTTAACTTTGGATCTAAGGTTGAGGAGGAATTTCCCATGGAGATTTATAGTTGCAGATATTCCCAAACCCATAATTGGCGCAGATTTCTTGGCCCATTATGGACTCCTAGTCGATATACAGAATCAGAAACTGATGGATACCCAAACAGGAGTAACCCATCGTGGACAAGCAACTGACATCGAGGGCGGAGCAATACACACAGTCGCAGGAGAGTCTCGATACCATCAACTGGTGAGAAAGTTCCCACAGTTAACTCAACCGGCGGGAGTAGTAGCAGAACCCAAACACAACACACGACATTACATCCGAACCACTGCAGGACCGCCGGTAGCACACAAACCTAGAAGACTCGCCCCAGATAAACTCAAAACCGCGCAAGAGGAATTCCAGACCATGTTGCAACTCGGAATTGTGAGACCTTCCGCAAGCGCATGGGCATCACCACTACACCTCGTCCCCAAAAAGACCGGCCAATGGAGACCATGCGGCGATTACAGAGCCTTAAACGCAAGGACAGTCCACGACAACTACCCGGTCAAGCACATCGAAGATTTCTCCCAAAAACTCGACGGGAAGAAAATTTTTTCAACCATCGACTTAGTAAAAGCCTTTTTCCAAATCCCAATGGCCGAAGAAGACATCCCAAAGACTGCGATAACCACACCATTCGGGTTATTCGAATTCTTATATATGCCTTTCGGTTTACGGAACGCCGCACAAACGTTCCAAAGATTCATCGACAACATCCTCCGAGATTTCGATTTCTGTTACGCATACATAGATGACATATTTATCGCGTCAGCAAACGAAGACGAACACTGGGAGCATTTACAGCTAGTATTCACTCGTCTAGCAGAGTACGGGATCATAATAAACCCAGAGAAGTGCAAGTTCGGGAAAGAAGAGGTCGAGTTCCTCGGTTATCGAGTATCAGCGCAAGGAACAAGACCTTTGGACGCCAAGATCACCGCAATCCGTGATTTCCCACAACCCGAAAATGCCAAGCAGCTACGACAAATGCTCGGAATGATCAATTACTACAGAAGATTCATCCCCAGAGCCGCAGAGACACAAGCACCTTTACACGAATTATTGAGAGGAAAAATAAAAGGAAACCATGAGCTCCAATGGACGAAAACCGCTAAACAAGCTTTCGAGAGATGCAAAGCACAGATCGCAGAAGCATCACTTATAAACCACCCCGTACCAAATGCCCCACTCACCGTCACTACCGACGCCTCAGATTTCGCAATAGGTGGAGTAATTCAGCAATTCAACAAAGAAGAATGGCAACCCATAGCTTTCTTTTCCAAGAAATTGTCACCCACTGAACAAAAGTACGGAGCGTACGACCGCGAGTTATTGGGAATCTACAAGACAATCAAGCACCACCGACACTGGTTAGAGGGGCGTGAATTCACGGTCTATACAGACCACAAACCGATTACGTTCGCGTTCGACCAGAAACCAGACAAATGTTCTCCCAGGCAATTTCGTTACCTCGATTACATAGGACAATTTACCACCGACATCCGCCACATCTCCGGCAAAGAAAATATGGTCGCAGACGCATTATCACGAATCGAAACAATCAAGACTGGAATAGATTTCGAAGCACTCGCCAGCGAACAAGACACGGACCCCGAGCTACAAAGTTTACAACGAACGGAGACAGGTTTACAGATTAAAAAGGTCCACCTTCCAAACTCGAGCAAACCATTATTTTGCGACATATCCAAAGAAACAACAAGACCTTTCGTAACGAAAAGATTCAGGAAGGCAGTTTTCGAAAGCGTTCACCAGTTATCCCACCCAGGAATACGAGCCACAGTCAAACTAATTACTCAAAGATTTGTGTGGCCCGGAATCCGAAAAGATTGCACTCAGTGGACACGACAATGCAAGCAATGCCAGCGATCCAAGATACATAGGCACAACAAAACAGCAGTCGCACCATTTCCCACCTCAACAGAGAGATTCAGACATGTACATATAGATTTAGTTGGACCTTTACCCGAATCTCAAGGACACAAGTACATGCTAACGTGCATTGACAGATACACAAGATGGCCAGAGGCCACACCAATAGCAAACATCGAGGCAGAAACAGTCGCCGAAGCTTTCTTCAGCACATGGATATCACGATTCGGAACCCCAACCCAGGTAACTACAGATCAGGGACGTCAGTTCGAAGCCGCGCTATTTCGGAAATTAGAAGAGCTAGCCGGTTTCCGACGAATCAGAACCACGGCATACCACCCACAGGCCAACGGGATGGTAGAGAGACTGCACCGTCAATTAAAAACAGCCTTGCAATGCCATGAGTCCTCATGGACCCAAGCCTTACCATTAGTGCTACTTGGAATCCGAAGTGCATGGAAGGAAGACATAAAGGCTACAGCAGCAGAAATGGTTTACGGACAAACCCTGAGACTACCCGGCGAATTCCTCACTACAGATCCATTGCAAAACAACCTCGAGGCCGCAAGCTACGTAACGCAACTCCGTAATCATATGAGAAACCTTAAACCAAGCAAAGGATCCAACCACGATCGACAAAGACCGATATTCATCCTCAAGGACACCGAGACAGCAACTCACGTATTCATCAGAGTCGATGCAGCAAAACGGCCATTACAGGCACCATACGAAGGACCCTTTCCGGTACTACAACGGTCAAACAAAACAGTGACCGTCAAGAAGCCAAACGGAACAGTAACTGTATCCATCGACCGCGTGAAACCGGCTTTCACAGAAAACGACGACCAAACAATCCAACCAACGGAGCCAACTAACGAAACAAAGGCAGACATACATCATACAATACAAACCAGGTCCGGGCGCACCATAAAACCACGGGTGCGTTTTCAAATCGACACCTGATTCCATCACCAGCAAGGGGGTAATGTGGTGTACACGCCACCACTGTAATCCGCACGCCCCTGAAAAAGAAACAGCAACACAAGCACGCGTCAACGGCGTGAGTAAGGGTTGTCGATCACGTGAAACACCGCACTAAGCAAGGGATGCGCACGTGATCGCACCCCAGGGAGCGCGTGCAAAAGGATCCCAAGTTGTATAAAAGCCGCAACAATCGAGAGACAAAGGAGAGAAGTTTTTCTGCTCACCATAGCGAAAGATCTCTAGCTCTGCTCACCATAGCGAGCCCACCACCTTCACGGTAGCCGCAGGCGACGTACCCAAGAGGACACCGATGACCGGAAGGCACCACGCAGAAGGAAAACGCTTGCAGAACGCAGTCCGCCGTTTTCTCCGGCGCTCGCCAATACCTCCACCGATCAGCCCTCTGCCACCGTCGCCAACACCGGAGAAGAAGTACCGTTTATGCCTGGCTCCCACGTCATTGGCGTATGCCAACGTTCCACCTTGGGAAATCAGCGAAGACGACCCGCGGAAACCTTTATTAGAACTCCGTTACAACTGTGCCCTTTTTGGCCCCAATTATAATTAAGATGTATATATGTAAATAAACCTTTTTGACCATCCAGTGGCGTACTCATTACGAACACACCGCACCAACGACCCCAGGGGATACCCAACCCACAGAAGAATAATTTAATAAGTAACTCCACAATCACCGACAGTTTTAAAAGGGGAGAAAAGCACGATGTTCAAACAGTACTCAATACTCATACCCCACTGAAAATACATACCCTTATAGTTTCTCAAATTAGACATACCCATATCAAGCTTTGTTACTGTCTCTGACAAATCATTTCCCGCGGGCGAGTATGTGGTACAATTAATAACTAATGTCTTCTTCTTTTTCCTCATTTGCTGTATGTAAACGTCAAAGGCGGTGCCACTTATAAGCAAAACGATTACACCTGCAGTTACTGTACTGCAATGAACGATTAACTTATACATTGAAGAACATTTCGCATCGTACTTACCACAAAAGCAAAAACGTCACGTCTTCAAACATATTATATCGCTGATGTCTCGATCGAATTGCTCCCACCTTTAGTGAAACCTTCTGTGATATTCTTGACGTTTCTTCAAATAAGACTCTGGCATCTTCGTTTGTGCATACATCCGGTAGGCATAATCCGATATGAAGTATACGTTCCTAAAGCGATGGATTTTAAAGCGATGCAATGGGTTCTGTGATTGGAACTTACCTCACTAGTAAAAGAATTATTTATGTTTACCCTCAAGACAAAATACCCCAGATCAAACTGTGGTTGCTGAGAATGAATCATTAATAGCTTTTTATATGATTCATATTGCAATGGCTCCGTTACATTGGAAAGTCTATTCTCGTCACTGCCGTTTGCCTGAAATTTAATCAGTGTTTTTATCGATAGCAGTGATTTGTTTAAACTTATCATTTGATCTTAAATTACTACCATCAGGTACTGTCAGAAAAAATATCTCTAATCTCAAAGGACCGACAAGGTGCATTTTTTTACTACGAGTTAAATAGTAATTCTCCAATAAAAACAATTGGAGACATGAACGGACAAGGTCTACAACAGCTACGTTTTGAAAAGCGTTCGAAGTTAATCGGCGGTCGATACGACAGAATCGGTCTATGAAAGGTGCGAGAGGTGCCCCGGGTTTCCCCTGTCGGTGGTTCATATGGAGAAGGCAATCCTTGTGAGATGCAAAATGTAATCCCTCTCTACGACGTTCTTCTTTCATAAGGCGTTCAAGTGTATACTGTATGTGTTTCCAAAAGTGGTTTTATTAAAGTGTATCCACATAGTCTAAGCGATAGAGACTGTAAAATTGGCAAACTGGACATTTTGAGGTGGAAAAGAAAAAATTGGTGGAATACGTTCAGTTAGGTGTCAGAAACAACATATTAAAAATCCCACCCCCCACTTTACGCCAACTCTTCAGTTACCTACCTCGTATGAAAATGCACGAAGGGCATTTTCAGTTAAAAATATTTCATCTAGCCCTAAAGGTCGCGATATATTTGCAAAAAACCGCAAAAAAAACACGAAAATTGATGATTTTCGCCTCCTATTATGAATTTCCTAGGCTAAGAGGTACACCTAGGCTAACTTCTAAGTATCTACCTTGTAAGAAATTTCACGAGGGGCATTTTCAGCTAAAAGTATTTCATCTAGCCCTAAAGGTCGCGATATATTTGCAAAAAACTGCAAAAAGTCACGAAAATTGATGATTTTGGCCTCGTTTATGAATTTTCTAGACTAAGAGGTAGACCTAGGCTAACTTCTCAGTATGTACCTTGTATGAAATTTCACGAGAAATATATTCAGCATAAAATATTTCATCTAGACCTCATAGATCGCGAGAAATCGCAGCAAAAAAGGGCGAAAATACGGTTTTTGGGGGTTGGTGGGTTGGCTGGAGCCTTTAGCACAGGGTCTGGGGGGTGGGATTTTTAATATGTTGTTTCTGACACCTAACTGAACATATTCCACAAATTTTTTCTTTTCCACCACAAAATGTCCAGTTAGATGTCTTTATCGCCTAGACTAACACGGAAGTGTCGCTTATTTTGTGTATAAGTCTAACTAAACCTAAAATGTTATCGTGTATTGTACCTATTATACTACTTTTATTACATTAACTGTTAATATACACAGAAAACCTAGCATATTTCAATGTAGTAGACGAAGAAGTTAACATAACCTCTTACAAAAATTAGCTGTCACTTCTCAAAATTTGTCAGTTTCACCAGCTTAAGAATGACCAAATGTAAGCAACACAACCTCAGATTTCAACGAAATAAAGCGAACTCTTAATTAAGATTTCCCTCTAGCTATTTTTATTAACTTCATGATCTTATCTGAGGGGGTTTAATAACATCATGTACCCCTAATATCATATAATATACTTTCAATCCGCATATTACAGCCTGTAAAATTGACAGGAAATTTATATTTGCCGACAGTTTTACAATTATTCATCAATCATCCAATTTGCAGCAATAGATCGATTAGATTCAGAAATGAATTTTTAATATTACCGAAAGAACCATTTAGTCCAACTGAAGCTGAAGTGAAGCCATCTTGCTATGTAGGTCACCCTAAAAATCACAGCTCCGTTACGTACGCGGTCTACTCTTGTATTTTCGTCACAAGAAATCCTAAACTTATTATTACAATCACTAAATTTTAACTTGAAAAGAGTAAGAACCAATATTTCAACCCCCGTACCGGTTTTAGATTTTCATTCTCCAACCACCTCACACACCATTCCAGGTACCACAATGGTTAAGTTTAGCTCAATTTTGTCTAAATTTTAAGGTTCCTTACCAAAATCACTCCTTTTACGGGCGAAACGTTTTCACATAAACTTTGAGATCCAGTCCAAAATTGGTTACCCCAAAACCATCCAGTAGAATATCTTCCGCTTGCATCATCCACTGAAATTAAAGAAACATATATTTACTATTTGAAGTTAATTAACAACAATCCAGCTTGCTCTTATTATTTGCTTGTTTAACTAAAGAAATATTATCTACTGTAACACGTGATCGCTTTAGGCTTAGAATGATTTGGTTTCTAATTTACAAATTTGCCAGTATAGGAAATTTTATACGTGTACCGCTGATGGGCTTTCAGATTAAAAACGACTTTTTCATAAATTTTACCGAGAAAGCATTGTGGTCAAAAGTACAGAACGTTTCATTGCGTTTATACTTAGAGTGGTTAATTACAAAAAAAGTTTACTAACCAAATTTGTGCGCCTCTCTTGTTTACACGGACCGATAATAAGATTATGGATTAAACGGCAACCGGTAGAAAGTTTAAAGACGATTAATTAGTGATTTTGCAAGCTGTTAAAGCCCTAAGTAAACAAAGGGAAAATTAACAACTACTAAATTTCGAGAAACCTGAAGCCCAGTTTGTTCCTGATTCGTGTCGTAAACCATCTTTCAAAATTTACCTTCAAGGAGTTGTCAAATTTAACATCTGATACAAAAGGGCCAATTGTATTGCACAATACGTTCCACCATCCAATTTTCCGGATTGCTGTTACCTTTCAAAAGGAGAAATTTTTTTACATTGTACAACAGAGTCGATCGTTGTGGGGATTTTGGGTAGCAATTTATGCTCAAAGTCATTTTAACGTTCCTGAAGAGGTCGGAATGTTATTCCGTGTACAGCTTTGTAAATTTTTAATGAATTATAAACGAACCCAAACAACAGATTTTGGTGATTTTTTCTCATTAATTGTAAGGTGGAATTGATACCCTTCGTTTTGGTGGGGTAAATTTTCTTTAGCATCCCGAAGTGTGTAAATCTTTTGAATAAGGATATAATATACTGGGCATTGGGTTAATTACAAATATTAAAAAATCTAAATAATTAATTATATTTGAAACGTGATCACGAGACAAGAATTGTATTGACGGAATTTAGAAATGAGTGTGAACACTATTTTTATACACAGAAAAGGGGTAATTTGTTTACCCATTACAATTCATTTTCATTCTTTTGGTTAATATTTTTTTAACTGCGGGCACTGATACTAATTCCAAAATCATGTTTAATCCATTTTTGTTCATTAACGCGCTAACGGTGGCACACCTGAAATTTGTAAGGGAAGATTTTCGAATGCATTTACTAATCTCACGCGAAATCAGCAAAATTTTAAATTAGAAATTAACTGGTCGCACGGATGACCAAACGCAAATTGGTTAACTGTAAGAGATCACGCATTGGTCTCGCTGTGTGTTTAACCGCAAATAAATAAAAACGTTTCCCCAAAAATAATCCGTTCTATTCTTTATTTTAAAGAACACCTGCCCAATGGCTTCTTATTAACGCAAACGGACATCTTCAATCGCTAATTCGTTTGCTGAATTCCTGCCCTACGAATCAAAGACCCAAATACCACCAACATATGCCCCGATTGCAAATTTCACGATGCTAAAATGATTTCATGCTGAATTCACAGTTGTAATCAACTAGCCCGAACTAAGAGAGGCGAGTATGATCCAAATCCCCGACATCTCGTCTCCAGACACCCGGAATCCTTTAAGAAAATAATGCTTTATAGACAAGTAAGTACAATTTTCAATTGCACCGAATGTCTTACCGTTCCACTAACAAATCCCCCAACTTCTACCTTTACTACAGAAATCGGAATAAAAAACTACATCTAAATTTAGAGCTATCATTTCATCTGCCTGCAATATTGGAAACAATTTATCGACTTCAAAAATGCCTTGAAAACAGCGGGAGCATGAATTGCAACGTACCAATGATGCTGAACGCACTGATCGGCTGCATGAAGAAAAATTTAACACCCTTGCGAGCCTACTATCGAGAAAAAACCGAAATAATTTGACCGGCAAGTGCGCTTTTACGCCCATTTCGAGTACTTTTTAGCGTATTTTCCAACGAAGTTGAGTACTCTATTGCATTGCAGTTACTTTATCTGTCCGTCCGTCTGTACGAGTCCTTAACTACTCCTACAGTTTTCAAGATATATAGTTCGTTCTTTTTGCATTCGGTAGCGTCATTGACTAATACCATAAATGTCAATGGTAGCGTATAACTTTAGCACCTGAGCCCAGGAAAATCTTGACGATTAAACTGCGCAATATCAACTTTCTTATTTATTAATATTTTTGTTGAAATTTTTACCACAGCTACTTCTAGCAAAGGCAGACATATCGCATATAGTCAAAATCAGATCAGCGCAATGCCAACTTTCTTATTTATGGAGATATTTCTTTGACATTTTAACCAAAGATGCTTATAGTAAAAGCAAACGTATCGCATATTGTAAACATCAGATTAATGTGTGAATGCGCAGGATGCGCAATATCAACTGTCTTATTTATCGAAATTCCTTTTTGAAAAACATATCGCATGTAGTAAAAATCGAATACTACAAATACAAAGGCAAACACATCGCACATAGTATGTGTTTTAATGCGCACAATGTACCATTCAATAATTCTTGTGAATGACTTTACCGCCACAAATTTTCCGGGTGCGGCAATTAATATTTCGGTAGTAAATCTTCTGGGATCAATCTTCTGAGGGGAATCCGGTGGCATATTTACCTGGGAGTGAATTGAGATAGGATTAGCACCTTAAAATTTAAGGGAAGTATCCATGTCAGTCTCGGTTAGGTGTCGCTTTTTATTTTAAAACTGAAGAGAAGCACACTGTGTTATGTAAGATCGCCAATAAATTAATAAATTATAACTTTATGAGCCGATATTGTTTAAGCTTTTGGTAAAACCATCGAGTGATTTGCTACCGCTGTGATTTATATTTATCACGCTTTCTCAACAAAACCTAAGCATTTTTATTCAATGACCTAAGTGAGTGTCATGGATGAACGACGTGATCCTAATCGATTGCAGTTACGTTTCCATTTAACTACAGTTTACCTGTAATATGCATTTCACACCATAATAACATTTTTGTAATTCTAAGAATAAATTGGTACTCAAGTAGAACTTATTAATGTGTCTAGAATACTAATGTGGTGATCGGTTGTTTACAATTTAGGAAAAAATAGAAATACTTTTTTAAAAAAATTTAAAAAACAAATGATCAGTCAAACGAACCGTATCATTTTTTTACCTAAATAACTGCAGCGTGGAAAAAACAAAGAAAACTTAAATTTAACTGTTAATGAGAGCAACATTTGTCAATTTTTTACGATTTATCATAAGCTATATTGTTATATCTATATTGAATTTATTTATTTATGAACAATTCAAAAATTGTTGCGACATGATGGCAATTGACCAACATGTCGAATTTTATGTAACACAAGACACCTACCTTTTACAATACCAAACGTTTGATACGTGTAAATCAAGTTATAGTAAGGAAGCTTGCATTAGCAGGCCACTAGACGAATACAAATGATAATACTCCTGAAAGCAATTTGTAACGATATTGCGATAAAAGAAAGCGATTACTGTTTACAAGTCTATTACATAATTGAATTTACAAGCAGCTTCATAACGTATAAATTAAAATTGAACCAAAATTAACCTTAGGGAAATATTAGATAATGAGATAAATGAAAGTCATTGTTTGTATAACAGAAGTTGAATGAATCTGATTTTAATTTTGCTATTTACCCATCCGACTATGACAATTTCATTCTCATCGTGCAGTTAATCACGAATTTCAATTAAAATATAAGAAATAAAGTCAGATTTATGTTACGCTTATTCATTAGTCGCTCATCTCTTATAATCAATTTTAAGAAATGAGAGAAAGTAAATTCAAATTCTCTTACTTAATCCTATAAATTGGTATTAAATCACCGGAAGTTGTGGATGTGTTCTAGTTACTTCTTAGATATAAGGTTTGTAGGTAAATGTGGAATTAACCTTAATAGCCATGTTAAATAACGAGGTTATACACAGTACCCTCATTAAAAACTTTGCACTTTACTTAATTTACATTGCAAGTGCACTCTTTGTGTCTTCTTCTTCCTTATTCCTGGTATTGTGCTTATCGAGTAATTGCATTTGAATATATAGGTACGATTACAGTTGTTGGGGCTCTAAGTTGTGTTGTGCAAGAGGAAATTGCGACATCCTTTGTCACGTCGTCTGTGATGTTTATTGACATTTAACAGAAGAGCTTTTCTGTCTTGAAAAGTGCTTATGGCATAACCAAACGAATGGCCAACCCCCACTATGTATAAAGTATAGCTACTGCAAATTGAAAGCTGAAAGTATAACGAAATGGCATCAGGTGCGATTTTTGTATGTGCAATTGTATTCTGCAGGCAAATCGTGATATTGGTCATTAAATTGCTACCCTCAATTCTTTATAAAAGGAACCGACCATTTTTTCAAATTATAACTACTTTGATTTGTTCCTGTATATACTACCAGTATACATACATATGCAAGATAGCCTTGATCCTTGCATAATTAAATATGCATACTTCCTTCGATTCGCTCCTATTTATGCATGGTTTTATACAATGCCTACTAATGTACAAGGTAAAATTGCCAATTCACTGTCCCTGAAAAAGGTTTGAAAAATAAACTAATATGATACATTTGAATTTAAATAAATAATAACTATTTAAAACGCAACCGGCGAACATAGACGAACTAAGACAGAGAATAATTCAAGAATGTCGAAATATTGCAAAACCAACATTTGAAAAGGTTCGACAAGAGTTTGAGAATAGATTATAACTGGCGATCAAAAATGAGTTGCTGTCAAGTCGGCTTTGGAAGTTCAAGTTACATACGATTTTCCATGTTTATTTTTTGATTTGCACGATAATTACTAACCTAAATGTAATGCTATTTGGTATGGTTGGAAAGCATTTTTTCAGAGTTTTCCAACGACGTATCACACATGGGGGGTCACTATTTAAGATTTAAAAGTTGGGGTGGCTGGGGCGCAGGGGGTTGGAGGG